TGTGAACCTAAGTACTTAGGTCTCATCCTAGGACTTGGAACCTGCTCAAGCAAACAATTGCATTCCTAGTGATCCCTGGAAAATTCTTCTTATTTGTTCCTCTGGTCCTTGACCTGTTCATTTTTCATTAGAAATTTGGGGTCAATAAATAAATATACTAGAATTTCCTGACTGCATGGTACCTTTGGTTTATCTGATTTCATGGCACATTTGCTTCCTGGTTTCTCAACAACCTATAATCTTTTCCCTCACAAAAACGTGTATGATGGACTTTTCAGGCAAGTTTAAAACTTTCACTTAAGCTAAGGTGCTTGAGTGACTTTTTATTGGTGACTTCACTGGCCAGGATATATTACAGGGATTACCAAAGCAGTTTCAAAATGACTGGCTCAGTCTTGTGTTGCCCAAGTGACTTTTAGCCCAGCCAAAAAAAGTCTTCATGTTGTTAACTGTCCTGAACACACTCTCATGCTAGTATATAACTCCTCAGTCCTTCCCTTTGGGTCACATTTCCTATTTTATAGTCGAAGCAAGTTGTGGATGCTATACAATTAATATAGATTTAATGTAATATGTACAATTCTGTAAACATGCACTAATGAGGATTTTGTAAGTACCATTTAAAATTATCTGAGGAGGATTTTCAAAGAAACTTTCTATGAATCTGTTTATAATGCAAAAACCCTTTGAAAAAAATAACATCTCTCCCTAAACCATGTGTAATAATATCATGTATTAATTTTACACAATTGTGGAGGTCACCATTCTTTTTTGTTCATTGAGCAAGCTCCACACCAACACAAGAGTCAACCATGCTTTCCCCTTAAGCTTTACTAAATAATATTTGAAAATGTGGGCCACTGAGACAGAAACTTCCCCCATGAGTCAGTAAATAAGCCCAGCAAAAGATCTCATGGTTCCAACTAACTAGACCACAGCCTTTTATATTCAGTTCTGCTTTCTCAGTAGTCTCTGTGTCTAATTTCTAGTTAGGAACTGAGAAATTGGGTTAATTTCTACTTCCGTAGGACTAGCTAAGACATCTCATGCTAACAATGGTAGAAAAGCCGCAGAATCCCAGGACCTGGGTACTCTTTCCCACTTTCTCTCCCCCACCCCCAGACTCCATGAGGTCCTAAGGGAGTAGAGAACAAGACCAGGCAAAGAAAGAGACACTGCTAATGGGATCTTACCTCAAACCCTGATGAAGTGGGCCCTGGTGAGCTGGCCTGGGCCAAAGCACTCCATTTGCTAGAGGAATTGTTCCTAAATCCGGTTGCACATCCCAACCTCCTGGGAGATTTGTGTTTCTTTTTGCACTAGAGTTACAAGTTTTACCCAGATTTATCTGCAGGGGTGGGCCCTGGATTCTGTTTTAAAAACATGGGGTATTAGCATATGTCATGGTGCCCACCAGCTGTCTCCCAGTCTTAGGGAACCTCCAATCTAAGTTAAAAAGTTGTGATTTGCTGCAGCTGAATAGTACCAGCTTGTGGAGCCAATGGTTAAATTTTCAGGAATTTTGCAAGTGAGTTGCTAAACATAGCCATTACTAAATGCTGAATTTTATAAGCTTGCAAATAAAAATTCTATCCAAAACAAATACCCAAAGCTCATCACTTCCTAATCATTTACTATTATCCATGTTCTTGAGATTTTTGTCTTTCGAATCTTAATGGTGGAAATGATATGCAATGATGCACTAATCTGCATCTTTTCCCAATTTCCCATTCAGTGACACCACATGGATGCTTCAAATCAGAACACTTTATAGCATGGAAACGAACCACCGTAACAAATCAGGGCTTGATATTGTGACTGTCTCTAGACTTACAAAACTGATGGAGAAAATATAATAAAATGTAAATAATAAGGATTAAATTTAAAATGTCATGTGTAAAAAAATTAAAAAAAAAACAAGAAGTCATGTCTATTGCTAGTACATTGTAAGCAGAACGAAATCTGAGGAAATATTCTCCTAGTATTTGAAAATTATCTGATTCAGTAAGACAGTACTTTCTTCATTGACAAGCAAGTAAAATTACATTTAAGTCCTTTTTGTTTCTGGTAGAAGAAAACATAACTTTCATGTTGGGAGCTACACTTATCAACTGCAACTCTGACTGAGCTACAGTAAAAGAGTCTGTAAAAATTAGACAGAGCATTCTGTGAGAATTACATACATAAATTTAAAATAAGGAATATTGCATATTCTAGTATTTATCAATTATGTATCTTATTAATTGTGAGTAAAGTTTATAGTAGACTTACATTTGGTTATACATACACATTTCTTCCTTGGAGAGCTGGTTGTTAAACATTTCCAGCACACCACTGACTAAACCAAGAACAGAAACAGTGTGCTTCCTCCTTGGCTTCTATTCTCCAGGTCTACACTCTTCAGTTTACCATTCTGTCAAGAAAAGTACAAAGGAGGGGTTGGGGGTTGTGGCTCAGTGTGAGAGCACTCACTTAGCACGTGTGAGGCACTGGGTTGGATCCTCAGTACCATATAAAAATAAATAAAATAAAGGAATTGTGTCCAATTAAAAAAAAAAGTACAAAGGATTATACAGTTACATCAAAAGGAAAAGAAATTGTCCTTAAGATCCAAAGCAGAGAATTTAATGGTCCTAATCAAGTCCTTGGTAAGACAGCTGCCTGACCATACCTGCCAAGTGGAGAAAAAGAGTGAATCCTAACAAAGGGCACTCTTGGAACCAGAGCCTGATAAGCACCTTCCCCCTTGAGGAGTCCACATCCACATCAGATGCTGGCTTCTAGGGGACAGGAGTTTGAATTTCCTGGCCAAATTTGGCACATAACAAAGAACATTTCTACCTTCCAGCAAATGAAGTACAGGTGAATACCACAGCTTCTTTCGCATTTATTTCAAAATCATCATCACTTGTGATTTGGAAATGTCTTCATAAAGGTGAAGTAAAACACAATTAGCAAAGTACAGGAATTTTCTAAAATCATGTTACCCAATAGTCTTGTTTGGTAACTTTAAGCAAATTACAATAACCAACATTAAGTATTAAATGAGTTTTCTTCAGTGTGGGGGTGGGGATGGGAGCAATGAAACCTGTTTTTTTTGTTTTTTTTTTTTTTAATGGCAAGTCCTGTATTTAATCAAATCAGGTCACTGACTGTCCATGTTATTCTTAAATCCTTGTCCATGTGACTATTCAATTTTTTACATTCAGTAAAAAATATAATTGTTTTTCCACATTTTTCATGACTATTTTTTTCCATTTTGTCTTATTCCACCCATCTTATCTTCTCCTTCATGATTTTTTTCCTTTAAGGTATGGGGGGAGGGAAGCAAAAGTCCACCAAGTATCTCTTGTCATTATCTGACATGAGGCAGAAACCTTTGCTGAAAGCTCACCCTCCAATAAAACGGGAGTGAAATATTTCTTTTATGTAAAAAAACACAACTGTTCCAAGAGACTCTTTACGTAAATTACTATTCACAGTTGCAAAAAGTCAACATGCAGAAAGACTTCTCTGGCCTCCACACTCAAGATGAGTCAATACCAGCACCTTAAAATGTTCACTATTGACCCCAAATAAAAGCGAAACTGGCTTTAGAACATTTTACAAAATGCATGTTATGGGGTAGACTTCAACATTAACAGTGCCTTTACTTAACTGTTTCTGAAAGCTAGGCACAGAACTGCTCCAAGGAGACTCCCTCAGTCCCTCTTAAAAAAAAAATAAAAAAAGGAATGTTTGGTGAAGGTTCAAGTGTCCCCGATGGGGTCCCCTGAGGAGAGAGGAGAAACCCAATCAGCCGGGCACCCTACAAAGTAGAAGCCTCGTGTCAACACTTAACCAACTAATACCTATGGTATGATAATACATCCTGGGAGGAGTGATATACTGGATATGAAAGCATATCCAAGAAACTTAAAATCAACTTGAGAACCTACTAAACTCTGGTATCTACATAGAAGAAACAAGTATTTTTTGTGGTTAAAGACGTTTCGTTTTAAAAAATTGTCAGACATTTCTTTTTCTGTAACTTATTATCCCAGAGGAAAATTTAAAAAACTCTTTGGTCATTACCCACTGGCTCTCTAAGTAAGATGCAGAGGTGGTGTTTTCCCATTTGACCCTTAATTATTAATCCACGTCAGCTTATCCCTTTCAGAAGGCTAAAGAAATACATCACTTATCAATATTAAAATCCAGAAGAAACTAAAATGTCAGATTTCTGTGTTTTCAGCCACAGATTTACTTCTATGATATGTGTAATAACTATAGAAGATGCTACTGGGAAGCTTATCAAGATATTTCCACTATACCAAAACAGCAGTGTGTCCCCAGCTAATGAGTCCTGTTAATGTGCTAAACTCTATAATTTTGTTTGATCTTGGACAAGGTTGTGACAAGGGCTTTTGACTTAATAACACATGCAGAGTATTTGCAACAATGCTTGGAACACAGTAAGCCAGCTATTAGAACTGTATTATTCTATTTTCATGGGTAGCATACGAAGTTTGAAGGTTTGTAGATACTAGTGAGAACTAAGTAATTGGGTAAGTGAAAAAATTATATAGAAGTCCTGTAATTTCCAAATAAAATGACATTTTTGACACTTTTGTTTTTGATGAATCCAAACTTACTTTACCAGTTTTTCCATTTTTAAGACTTTTTTTTTTTAAACAAAGCTATTCCTCTTGATATTTTCCAAAGTTGCAATGGTTCATTCTAGAGAAGAAAAAATATGCAAAACCCCTATACCCTATCCCTATTGAATATTGCACTTCCATTTTGCCCAAAATTCATAAGCTCCTATAGCAAAGAACATTTTCTGAGTAGTAAAATGCAAAGCTCTTTTTGTCCAAGCAACTCCCTATATGAGCACATTTCCTTCTAACTTAAAATTTCTTATTGTAGTGATATGTACATGTACTGAGTCAAGGTCTTGGAAATAAACTGGGAGCCCCAAAATTTGGTTACTGAAATCACAACAACAACAATAACAAAAATAGGATGGGAGTTGGTTTTAATAGCAATTTAAAAACATGGTTAAAAATGTTACCTTCTCTACATCTTGGGAGCAAATTTTTACCCCTTACACATCAGATAGAGCACTAATCTCTAGGGGATATAAAGAATTCAAAAAGCTAAACACTAGAAAAACAAATAATCCAATCAGTAAATGGGCCAAGGACATGAATAGACACTTCTCAAAAGAGGATATACAATCAATCAAGAAATATATGAAAAAATGTTCATCATATCTAGCAATTAGAGAAATGCAAATCAAAACTACTCCAAGATACCATCTCACTCCAGTCAGAATGGCAGCTATTATGAAGACAAACAATAGTGAGTGTTGGTGCGGATGTAGGGAAAAAGGTACAGTCACACATTGCTGGTGGGACTGCAAACTGGTGCAGCCAATATGGAAAGCAGTATAGAGATTCCTTGGAAAACTTGGAATGGAACCACCATTTAACCCAGCTATCCCTCTCCCAGCATACTACAGGGACACAGCCACATCAATGTTTATAGCAGCACAATTCACAATAGCTAAACTGTAGAACCAACCTAGTTGACTTTCAGTAAATGAATGGACAAAGAAACTGTGGTATATATACACAATGGAATATTATTCAGCAATAAAAGAGAATAAAATCATGGCATTTGCAGGTAAATGGATGCAGTTGGAGAAGATAATGCTAAGTGAAGTTAGCCAATCCCCCCAAAAAACAAATGGCATGTTTTCTGATATAAGGTGACTGACTCATAGTGGGGTAAGGAGAGGGAGTATAGGAAGAATAGAGGAACTCTAGATAGGGCATGGAGGGGGAGGAGAAGGGAGGGGCCGGGGGTTAGCAATGATGGTGGAATGTGATGGACATCATTATCCAAAGTACATGTATGAAGACACAAATTGGTGTGAACATACTTTATATACAGAGATATAAAAAATGTGTTCTATATGTGTAATAAGAATTGTGATGCATTCCGCTATCATGTATTTAAAAAATAAAAGGAATTGAAAAATGTCACCTCCTCTGTGAAGTCTATTGTTGAAATGTATTCAGGCACATAAATATCCTTTATCTAGTTTAGGCCAATTGCAGTTAAGGGCTCTTAGCTATGTATAATAGGTGTTCACAATTGTTGAATGAATATCTTTCAATATTTTATTTAAAAATAAATGTCTCTTCCAGCGAATCAGGTAATTTATTTGAAATGGAGTGACAATATTTTCTGAATACCTGTAACTGGACAGATTTCTACCCACAAAAGAGGTCTACCATGGTTTGCTATACAAAATGTCTTAACATTTCTTCTTATTCTAAATAATGAAATGTACACTTTACTTCCCATGTTCTCACAATCTCTTGTGCCAGTTATTAACTTAATTTCTTGAAGATTAAAAAATACCCTTTGAGGCCAGTTCTACTACAATAAAGACCATTTTAAAAAACATTTCTCCTTTACAGCAAGCACACTGTTCAGCTTCCTCAGTGGAAGACACTGATAGTTCTGCTCATGCATAGCTGGTCAGCAGCTGTAGAACACCTAGTGATGATCTGGCCCTACTTTGAGTACAGAATGGCAGCCTCAGTTGGTGTGAGGATCACCTTCCCATGTCCCTAACATAGACACCATGTGTTCCAGACTCCCACCCTCAGTGGCATCCAAATTCCAGTACACCAGCTGAGGGTTCCTTGTGTCCTGGAGACTGGCTCCCTGTTTGCTTGGTGATCATGGACAAATCTGGCCTAGGCAACCCAATGAACTTCTCTGCCATCACCCATTGGTCCTGATTGAGAGGATGCTGACAGTTAATAGAAGCCTGGAATCTCTGAAATAAAAGATAAGTTAACTTTTAGCTTTGAACTTGGACCAGATTCAAAACTATTTACAAAAGATAAAATGTTCTATATATTTATTCTTACAGGCATTATAACACTCATTTTTTTTTTAGCTTCTATTTTTCTAAGCCTTCCATTAAAAGTATAAGGGGCTGGGGTTGTGGCTCAGTGGTAGAGCACTTGCCTAGTATGTGTGAGGCACTGGGTTCGATTCCAGGCACTGCATGTAAAATAAAATAAAGGACCATCGACAACTTAAAAAAAAAATAGAAAAAAAAAGAGTGTGAGTCAAAGCACTTAACTTTAGCATTTCAGATTAATAGTAGTTGTTTATAATGAAAACAACAAAAACCCCTTAGTACTTCTTATATACTTTCATCAGAAAGAGAAAGAAAATATGAAGGTGTGGTCATGTAATAAACATACTAGTGTTATCACTGAAGAACAAGACCTTCAGTAGAACCATCTCACCTGCAGTATCACAGCTCAGAAAGAAACATTTTGCAGCATGGCAATTTGACCTTTTGTACCATAGAACTGAACTCAAACCCCAGTTGTGGAACCTGTGAGCTTTGGCCCATTTGTGTAACCTCCGAGTATGTGTGTGTAATCTCTGACATTCTATGAAGGAGGTGTATCATTGCAAAACAGAATATACTTCCCACATAGAATGGAGGCAATTAAACAGGATAAGCTACCAGTACAATGACTCTTCCTTGTATCTTCATTTTATAGGTCAAAATACAGAAATAAGTTTTTTTGCCAAGAGCACAGCAATTTATAGATAAAGCTGAAATTAAAATCCTCTTGATTTATGAGTATACAAACTTGGGAAGAAAAGAAAATCTTAAGATTTAAGTAAGTAGTTCTATTGGGAATGATGATAATTTATTACTATCCTGTATCTCCTGATACATAGCATTCCTTAGCAGGCTGATGATGAGGCAATGATATCAAGTATAATGTTAAACTTTATATAATCAAAGAAACAAAAAAAGCCGCTACTGAAAGAGGCTAATAGTTATATTTCAAAATGCATCTGTATACTATCTTATAATTTCAATTAAATGGTGTCTTCAATATTGTAATAGTAGACAAATCATACTTTCCCTCTAGCCCTGTTTCCATCTCCCAACACCATTAGACACTAGAAAAAAATTAAAAAACCCCCAACTATTTAAAATGACTTCATTGAAAAAAACGATTGCTTTTTCTAATGACAAAAAGTTTAAATGTCAACTGAAATATCATCTGCTATACGTAACTTATCAGCTTACTCTTTTTGATATTGGCAAATGTGAGCCAAGGGGGGCTGTGCTTTGGACAGGAAAGGACACCACTGCTGCTGTACTGTCTGATCAAATACACCCAGCCCATGTGTTCACAGCACACCACAGCATCCCTCTTTAAAGACACTGACCTATAGCAGATCTTAATCAGTGACTGCTTTCACTAGAGCAAAAACTTCTAGCAGATTCCTGCTGACTGGTGTCCTCTCCCCATTTTTACAAAAATTGCATATTAAGGCTGAATGAATCTTGAAAAATTTTTAACTCTGAATTGTTACTTCCTCCTTCAAAAATCCAAAGCTTCCCATTAAAAACATCGTGTTTAAATTAATGGCTAATTCTTACCCAGAGCACACTTGATTCTTTCATTTTGCTTTACCTGAGACAAAGCCCATCAGGATGCAATGTGTAATGAGGACACATTTTCCTTGGGAACTAAGATTTAAGTGCCATTTTAATTCTTCTTGCATATTCTCACTATAATATACATTAACTCACAGCACCACCTATCTGTCAATGAAATAGTAGAAAACAAGGTTTACTTTCCACATAATGGCCACATAGCTGGTCTATACAATTTATTGTGAAATTAAGTCCAAAGCTTAAAAAAGAAGATAATCTAAAAATAGAAGTTCCATTTGACATTTTATAAAATACCTTCTAATGGTACATACAAATGTCTTGGTCATGTTTTAAGTAAAAGTCTGGTCAGCAGGATTCATATGATTTTAATCTAGCACAAAACAATGAATAAAAAAATATTAACTAGAAATTGCAATTAGGGAGAAGCAGACTTATAAATCCCAATAATCATGGGTATTTTCATGCCTAAGTGTTAGCTGGAATGTGTGTGGCTTTTCCTTAGAAATATCTTAGTCATTTCCTGTTTAACTAGGAAACAAGGAAGACAGTTACAGCATTTCATTTTTCTATCTTTTCTGTGTTTTGCTTTTGTTTTTGCAGTGCCAGGGATTGAACCCAGGGCCTCATGGGTACTAAGCTAATGCTCTACCCCTGGGCTACATTCCCAGCCCTATCCTTGCTGTGTGATACCTATATTAGAACTAAATCAGACCAGCTGTGTTGTCCACAAAGAATTAAAATGTCTTCACCTGACACCACATGTGTGTGCAGTTCACAATAGTTCTACAAGACAGGTTGAGCTGGGCATCACCACCCATCTCAACTACAGGGAAATGATACACGCTGTTTATGGACATTAGTCCATGGAAAACAGAACTCCAAGTCAAAGATTATTTACGGCTGTTTCATGCTCTAATGCTCAAAACAACCAGGAAAAAAAAATAATCCCTCCAAATAATTTCCGCAAAACTGACTCTGGAGCTGGGTGCAGTGGCACATGCCTGTAATTCCATTGACTCAGGAGGCTGAGACAAAATGATTGCAAGGTCAAGGCCAGCCTCAGCAACTTGGCAAGACCTTGTCTCAACAAACAATCAGAAACACAAAAAGAGCTGGGGATGTGGCTCAGTGGTAAAGCACCCATAGGTCATATCCCCAGTACCAACAAAATGCCACACCAAACCAACGATGACAAAAAACTGACCTTGAAAATAATGTAATTTATAAAAGTTATTTTGAAAATTGCATTTGGTTACAAATTTCAGAAAGTTAATATGACAAAAGTTTCAAAGACTATTTTTAAAAATGGCTATTAAAATTGAGTAACTAAATTAGGGATTTTCTTAGCAATTGATACACTGAGGCACTAATTATTTTAGAAGACTCTTCTGTTAGGTCTTAATAGTTCATCATGTCATACCTAATGTAACTTGTACCATACAGTCTTTCTTCTGGTGATTTATGCCAGTAGATACTAGTGGGAGCCTTTCTGTGACTGGTGAATTAAATTACCATTCATTACCATCCAATTTAAATACAGTTATCTCACCAGCATAGCAGAGTTGCCAAACCAGAGAAGCTCTTCTAACATTGATAATGCATCTGTTCTTCTTGAATATTCTCTTCTACTCCTTCCAAAGTTTAACATTCCTTATCAGCTACTTTTCTAATATTATTCTATTTCAATTCCTCCTTTCCTCCTGTAGAGTTCCTTTTAATATGTTCCTGAGAACTTACTAGTCTACTTCAAGGTTTTACTTAGACTTCTGTCCTAATATTCAAAGTAAAATAGAAATTTTTATACTTTCTCACATTTTATTGCACAATACAAACTTGATTAAAATGTACTAAGAAACAATATTTATGTTTAAGTCAATATTAACTTAAAGTGTATGGTAGGAGACAACAATTTATTTAAATATATTTCAACTCAGCATGAAGGTGAGCATTTACTTATGAAAGTTTAAATGAAGAAAGGTCTTTCACTGAATCAACCAACTTTTTTAGTTTCTCTTTCTCCATTTTTGTGCCTTTTATCTTCTTAAAAGTTCACAGTGTTACAGAAGTGAAAAATAAGACTGATAGAAACATATATGGCTAAAACACTTACGGCTTTATATACATCAAAAATTTAATAATGTTGCCACAACCCCTGATACAGTGTGATCCTTATTTATTTACTACTATGCAGAATAAACTTCTGTACATATTAAATTGTTCAAGTATATCTACATCAGTGTTTTGTAAAAAAAGAGGTCCCACTGCTAACTCAGCAGAAATCTCTTTGAAGACTACTTCTAACTCCAACACAACTAAGGCAGAATGTTATTTTCGAATGTACAACATATTGTACATTCTAAAATATCCCAAAATGTTCAAATGAGCCAAACGTAAACTATGATTTTTACCTAGTTTAATACCCCTTCTGTACAGCACCAGAGGTTAAAAATGGATCTGGCTAAGTAATGTTCTTTTTTCTTTATTAGGAACAGTTTATCTCTACTTATTTCTACAACAATAAACCCAAATTGAAAATAAAGACAACTTGGATCAAATGCTTTCCCCTTAAATAAATAACATTTACGTTCTTTCATACTTAAATACTTAATTATTTTCTTGGTAAAAGCTATTCAATTAGCCTCTTGATTTAGAGGATTAGGCAAGCCGGATAGGATTCTCTAGGTTTGCTTTAAAACTTTCTAGAAACTTGGTAGCCAGTTCGTCATCGACCACTCGACTGTCACTTGACATTGTGACTGTTATGAGTTGGTGCTGCTGCAGTTTGGCATTCCCCTCTTCATCTTCAGTGAGCTTGAGGACAGGTCGGAATCTCCCAACAGCCAAAATGCAGGCCTGTGGAGGGTTGATCACTGCAGTGAATTCATCGATGCCGAACATCCCCAGGTTGGAAATACTAGAGAGGGAAAAGGCAACAGAAGGTGGTGCGAATGCAGCCAAAATGTTTTCCTTGAAGCATCTTTTTTTTATTTTACTAAAAAACAGTACCTGTGCTACTGAACCTTCTATCGAGCTATTCAAAGACCTAAAGGATATGTACTGGCATGCATGTGAACATTATATCTATTATCCAACATTTAGCATTGAACTGGAGGTCCTAGGCAGTGAAATATGGCAAGAAAAAGAAAAGGTATAAATACTAGAAAAAAAAAAAAAAAAAGGAATCGCTATAACTTGATTATGTACATGGAAAATTGAAGGTTCTAAAGATAAATTATTATTAAGTGAATTTAAGTCACTAGATAAAAACATAATTATATATGTTACAATGATTAGATCATGAAATTGAAAAAATTGCCATTTATAATGGTATTAAATACCAAATATCAAGAAATACATTTAATGAAATAACATGAGATCTCTACAAAGAAAATTATAAAATATAACTGAAAGGACTCAGAAAACTCAACAAGACTTAATACTTGGAAGATGATAATTTTCCTCCAGTCAGTCAAGAGTTAATGGAATCAAAATACGACCAGGGTGGGGAGTATGTACATGTGTGCTGTATGTATGTATAAAATATGTCAAATTGATTTTAAAATTTATTTGGAATATGAAAAGCTAGAAAAGACAATCTTAAGAGTAAAAACAAAATTGAAAAATTTTCCTGAACATATATCAAAGCTATTATAGTTTAGTTATAACAGAACAAGAGACAGAAAACACAATAATTAAGCATACCAATACATACATGGTCATGTTCTCAATGCTATGGAGGAGAAATTAAATTTCAATATATGTTGGGTTCAATTAATATCCATATGAGGGAGGTAAAGAAAACCCTGACTTCTTCTTCATTATCATGTAAAAATCCAATTTCAGATGACTATGATCTACATGTGAAAAGTAAAAATAGAGTGCTTCACAATGATCACATAGAAGAATTAACTTCATGACTATTGGTCAGGCAAAAAGTTCCCAACAAAATAAATAGTGCCAAACAAATGAACAAACAAAAAACTGATAAGTAGAAATCATTAAAATTCAGAACTTCTGTTCATTAAAAAAAAAAAAAAAATCACCAAGGAAGACAAAAGGCAAGCCACATGGGAAAAGGTATCTGAATTAGTACCTATCCTACAAAGGCCTGTGTATCTGGAAATAACAATAACTCCTACAAATAACTTTCAAATCTGGATGCAAGACTTCAACAGCACTTTATCTGATGAGTTACAAGATACCCAAATGGCTGAAAAATGCAAAAGTACTCAACCTTATTAACTGGCATTTCCCTGACAATAAAGAGCACCACTACACCCTGGAAGAATCATTAAAATTTAAAAGATAACATTAAAATGTTGGCAAGAATGTAGAGCACTGGGAATTCTGAAGTACTGCTGAAGGAAGTATAAATTTGTATAACCATTTTGGAAGATTATTTGGCAGTATCTATTAAAGCTTTTAATTCAAGAATTCTACCTTTGGGTCCATAGTGTCTATAAAGCAAAAATGTCATATAGTTACCATAATACACTAGTAAGAACACCCATTGTATCATTATTTTCAATAGTACCAATCTGGAAACATAATACCTATCAAGAGGAAAATGGACACTAGCACTTTTATACAACAGAATGCTATATTCTACAATAAGGAATAAATGGCTGCTTCACATAACAATCTGGTGAATCTCTCAGACATTAGTGATGAGTGAAAAAAAAAATAACATCAGGCAATAAAGAATACATAGCATTTACATAAAACCCAAAACCAGCACAGTGGTTACCTTTGTGGGGGGGGGGGGATGATAAAAGGAGGCTTCTAGGATATTAGTGATGTTTTCTATCTTTCTTTGGGTGATTACTCAAGTTTCTTTACTTTATAAAATATTCAAGGTATGCTCAGTGCATTTTACTGTATGAGACACTTAAAAATACAGCTGATAATAACTAACACAGAGATCATAAATAGAAAGAAAATAGCTGAGGTTTATAAATGTATTGTATTTATAAATTCATTTAAAATAAAAGTTCATTATTTAAAATAAGATTTTAAGAACCTGAATGTCATTTCGTGCTGGTCACTGTCCATTCAAAAGAATGCTTAGTTCAATGCTAATAGGTTCTTATAACTAATAGGTTCTTATAGCTAATAGGTTCTTATAACATGACTAGTCTAAAAAATATTTTTACATATTCTGTTATCTAAATAAATTATGTAATATTTTGCTTAAATTAAAAAAATTTTTCAGATAAATAAATAAAACAGGTTGACATGGACTTCATAAATTATATCTATTACTTTGATGCTACTGATAATTAAGAATTTAAATCTTACCTAAAAGATCCTCCTTGGTATTCTTCAGGTAACAATTTTCCATCTCTTGCTTTCTTTGATAATGCCTGAGAAAAACAAAAAGTGAAGCATGACAACACAAGAATGTTATATATTTAATCATGTCACTTGAAATATTTGTACAGGCTACACTCTTACCTTTACTCTCACAACTTTACAACTTGTTAGATATATATACTTTTCTTTAATACAATTTTAAGGACAAACAAGTTACAGATAACCCAAGGAGCTAAAGTTCAGCAAGTCCTTAATTTTTTTTCAAATAACCCTGTACATCAATAATATGCATAATGTTTCAGTATCTTCTATATACACAAAAATTTTCCTTGTAAGACAAAAATTCTAATCAATACATCCGCCAAAATTTACTTAATCATTTTCCTAGTGTTGTAATTTGGTTCACTGATTTCTTCTGAACTATTCCAGATAAATTTTCAGAAGTGGAATTATAGTACACCTCAGAGAATGGCTTTTTTTAAGTTCTGGAAACCATAGGTGAAACATTTCCTGAATGAACCAGTCACAAGGAATATAAAAATTACTAGTTTCACATCACACTTTTTATACTGATTTCTAAAAACTGAGGGAAATGCCAGATGACACAGGCATTTAGAAAACTAGTTAAAGTTTCCTCACACTTGCACTTGAAATTAACTGTAGTTCTGTCAACCTTTATTTCTCAATGCTTCAAAAGCAAAGGACAGAGGTTGAGTCATTATACACAAAAATTAATAATTAATTTATGAGGGGAAGGGTAGAAAAAAAAGTAAAGTCAGTCATTTGGGTAGATGAAATAAATTTGGGGCTTACTTAATACTTTGTATTACTTAGCCAACATTACAATTACAGTTGAGAACTATTTAATTTTAAACCATTAACAACTTTTAAGTCCAAAAGTGATCAACACATTATTGTGACTTACTGCTAACTGAAACAATTAGAAATTTGGATAGAGTTACTTATAATTCTACATGAATTTAAAGCGAAAATGAAGATAAGCTTTGACTTGTATAATGCTTGGAACATTAGAACAATTTACAAACATATTATCTTTGGCCTTTAAGCAATATAATTATGCACATGGTTTGAACAAACATGTATCACATGAACTTTGAAAGACTTTTTTTTTTTAAAGGCAGATGATCTCAACAGATTCTAGTGAATTATCAAGCAGGAATAAATAAATTCATTTATTTATTTATTTTTTCACGAGCTCTATTATTATTATTATTTTTTGCATTACAATTCTTAATACACCTTTATACCACAATTTATCATATCTCTGTATACAAGTCTCTGTAGATCATCTATCAGCAGGATATATCTGTCAATGAACTTTAATAAGAGACCAAAATATGTATAAAGTCTGCTGGTTCTGAAACTTTGTAATTCTAACTGGGATCTCCTGGGAATACCTGAAGAATCCAGCTGAAAGGAAAAGAGGCTAGCAAATATTTCTACAATAGTTCATAACCTTTGCTAATTCATTCAAAAAAATTCACTGGGTCCTTATGAGGTAAACTTTGTCTCTGCCTTTCAAAACTTTACAATTAATGAAGAATTAAACTTAGCATGGGATCTAGGGCTTTCTACTATGTTACTTTATTCATGGAATTACACAGTTGAACTTGGCTGGCACCTGCAGTTACTGATGGTCAAAAAGTGCACAGGTAGCACAGGTGTCTTTAATGAGGGATCCACAGATCTACAAACTCTTCAAAAATTATCAACAAAAGTTTTTATTGAAAAAAAAACTTAAATAAGTTCATTGAGAAACACCAAAGCACAGGAGAGTGCAATTATTACTGAAAGAAAAAATGCAGCTATACTTGGATACCCAGGCAGATGCTGTTTTCTGCAGAGCAGGACAGATCCATTATGATCTTGCTTGATTTGCATTGATCCCCAATCTTTATTGGATATGAAGGACACACACACACATACACTCACTCTCTCTCTCTTTTTAGGTTTCTAATATAAACTCTAGTTCATATATTAAAACAGACACATGCATATAGACACACACACACTCTTTCTCTTTCTCTCTCTCTAGGTTTCTAATATAAACTCTAATTCATATATTGAAAGAGACGCATTCACATGCACATGCATATAGTCACAAACATATGCTCAAGGTTTCTAATTGTTGCATAAATGCTTTTTAATGACTGCTATTTCACAGCAGCTAAATGAACATTATCCTTGTGAAAAAGACATTAAACACATAGTTTTGAAGCCATAGTTACAACAATACCACCCCAAACTTATTTATTTTTTAAAAAATCATGTTTATATCTTCTAAACCATTTCAGCAAGAAGCTAATTTTGGAAAAAATCAGGTCTCTCGCTCTGTACACTAAAGAACTGCTATGCTAATATACCAAGCATGGTGCCTGCTTCTCATGAAAAGCCTCAGGGTGTCTCCAAGCCGCCTTATTCCTGATTGGAACCAGGGGTGATTATATGGATAAAGTTTGTTATGCTTTGTTACCATGTGATCCATGGGCCTGGCATGAGACATGACCAGCAAAAGTGCTCCACACAAGAATGTATGGGGTAGACCAATCAAATCCAATTTTTGGCAACTAGGAGCAAGAGAAAGAAAAAGTGGTGCCAAACAAGGAGAATTGGGAAAGTAAATAAATAAAAACAAAGTAAACAGTAAGAAGGAAGAGAGAGGTAGTATGGTGTAGACGTGATTAAGGACGAGTTCTAGGATCAAACTGGCTAGGTTTAAATAAATCCTCACTGCTACCATTACATCACCCTGGGCTAATGGGATTAAATAAAATACTTAGCCCAGTGCCTGGCACATCAGAGGATCAAGGGAGGAATGTTGATCACAGACAGCAGGGTGGGAAAGAAGCAGGTAGAATGGAAAGCACAGAGGAGTACTCAAAGCTTAGCAAGCCTTAGAGGTGCCAAGTACCAGGAAATGCTCAAGGACTACCAGGGACCATTATATTCCAAAGGTTCTGACTGCCTTCCCACTGCAGTCAGGCCCCGCTGGAGGCTGCTCAGAGTGCCTCACTACCTCTAAAACAGGCTTTCAGACTCAAGGAAAGAGAATGCTGATATAACTGTTTTACATATTACAGTTGCTAAACTGCTACATTGCCCAGAAACAAAGAAACCATACACATGGTTCATTTTTAAAATCTAATGAAGGGCTGGGGATGTGGCTCAAGCGGTAGCACACTCGCCTAGCATGAGGGGGTCGCTGGTTTCGATCCTCAGCACCACATAAAAATAAAGATGTTGTGTTCACCGAAAACTAAAAAATAAATATTAAAAAATTCTCTCTCTCTCTCTGTTAAAAAAATAAATAAAATCTAATGAATATAAAAGTAAATCTCTAGGTCTATTGTTAAGGTCGATAACTAACATTTAGAAGTACCTTATACTTCACGTGTAATCAACACTTAATCTCATTTGAACTTCACAACAATACTGAAATGCATGTATTCTCAGTGCTGCTGAGAAACTTTGATGAATAAAAGGCATGTATACAGCCCCTGTATTTGCTGATTCACTTTCCACAGCTTCAGTTAGTTACCCATGGTCAACCTCAGTCTGCAAATATTAAATGGAAAATTTGAGACATAAACAGTAAGTTTTCAACTGTCTGCTGTTCTGAATAGCAGGATAAAATCTTGAACCAACCATCCTGCCCAGGGCATGAATCATCCCTTTGTCTAGTACATGTACACTACATATACGTACCTCCCCACCAGTCACTCAGCTTATCTTGGTACTAGATCAACTGTCCCAGTATCACAGTGCTTATATTCAAATAATTCTTATTTTACTGAAAAATGGAGGCCCTAGGGGCAAGAATAGTGATGCTGGCCATTTTATAATAATATACTATTGTAACTATTCTACTTCATTATTAGTTGTTAATCTCTTACCATGCCTAATTTATAAATTAAACTTTATCATGGGTATGTAGGTATAGGAAAAAAAAACCCCAGCATATTTAGGGTTGTTTCATGCATCCACTGGAATACATTCCCATGTGGGATAAAGGGAAATCACTGTACAATGTCTCAGTAAATCAATCTATTACTTTGACTCTTGACTTGGACAAATTAATATGACCCTTCAATTAAGAAAAAGTTGCATTTTCACCCATGCACACATACTCTGCAAATCTTCAAAAGAGGAAAAAACACCTTAAAATATCAACTACATTGAGTTTACCTTTAATTACATCTAAGTCTAAAATTCAAGTAAGCTCAACATTTAGGGGTATGCATTTAAAACCAAAATAACTTCCATCCACTTATTTATTTTGGTCAAAGAGTCTTACACATTTATACTGTCAGCTCAAATAAGTCTTATCTTCTTTTTATTCATCTTATAACTTGTTCTACCACTAAACATATAATAGGTCCTTACTAGATGGATAAAGAAAATAAATCAGCTACTCAAACGAATCTGAAGATTTCAATATAAACACTTCAAGACCTATGATACTTCAGCCAAGAGATACCCTTGCAAATTACTGAGGCTGGAAAGGCTGACCTACTGCCTGTATTCCTGCTTATTCAACAAGATTTTTAGTGGAATCAGATTCCTCCATATTGAAGCTAAAAAAGAAAACTGCTTTTCGAGATATAGGAAAAACAAAGTACCTTGCTTCTGGAATGCTAAGTACTTTTACTGGTCTCAATTTTAAAGAGGAAATGAATAAAATAAACTTTACGAATGGAATATTGTTAATACTTAGGTCTGGCTATGATTATTTCATAGAAATGTAGTTTCAGCTTTATTTCAACTTTAAATAACCTAATACTATCTTAAGCAGCATCTTTTTTTTTAAAATTTTTTATTGTGGGTTGTTCAAAACATTACAAATTTCTTGACATATCATATTCCACACTTTGATTCAAGTGGGTTATGAACTCCCACCTTCACCCCATACACAGATTGCAGATTCACATCAGTTACACATCCATTGATTTACAAATTGCCATACTAGTGTCTGTTGTGCTCCGCTGCCTTTCCCATCATCCACCCTCCCCCCTCCCCACCTCTCCCCTCCCCTCCCCTCCTCTCTCTCTACCCCCTCCACTGTATAACCCTGAGGGTCTCCTTCCATTACCGTGCAATTTCCCTTCTCTCTCCCTTTCCCTCCCACCTCTCATCCCTGTTAAATGTTAATCATCTTCTCCTGTTAAGCAGCATCTTTAGAATTGAATTCTGGATTCTGTGAAATAAAGCTTGTATCTGGAACTTTTTAATAAAGTAGCCTTCTTATTTATCTGTATTTTACTTCTGAGTTTTTGATTATTAAATTTTCTTAAATTGGGTCATATCTGAATAAAAACTTAAACGTTTATAATTCACAGATGAGAATCATTTGAAATATCCCCTCCCCCACAAATTACGGTGTAACCAGAATGTTAAGACTTTATTGGAAAGGAATTAAGTGAAAGGATCTGCTAACAATTTGAAAGCACAGTATTTGTAAGACATACCTTTACAGAGTCAGCAATTTCCTGTATACCTTTAGCAGCAGCATCTTTTATGATTGGTGTAATCAAACCTTTATCTGTTGCCACAGCCACTGAAATGTCAATAGAGGGCAGTTGCTTCGGGCCCTCTCCATCCCAGCTTACATTTACTCCTGGCATTTGCTGAAGTAGAAAAAAACATGTTATTAAAACTTTAGACTGAGGTGATTACAGAAAAATAATTAATGTTTTATCTATTTTCCAAAGTGAATATAGTTGGATAGAAGAAAATACATAACATGGTTCCAATCTCTATGTTGTTTATTATTTATGTTTAAGAAAAATAATTAAACACATATTTTTTGAAGTAAGCTTGAGGAAATCCTGATGGTGTATGTTCTGATCTTTTTACATCATGGCTAAAAAAGGGTTTCCTTTATTAAAACTAATTGCCAGAAGGCAGTTAATGATCATTATGCTTCCTACCTCATGATACGCAATATGACCTTGAGGAGGAGAGGGGAGCAGAAAGGGTTAGTGATATTCAACTACATTCCTTTGGCATAAAGGAAGCCTGACTTTTTAGCACAGCTCTGGAGTATATATTAGCAAACCCTCAATAAATGACTACCCAATTTAAAGAGGTTTCCTAAGCTTCATAAGATACATACTACATACGAGCACGTACACATTTAACATACAAACAACTATATTGAAAGATGGGGGGAAAAACAGATGGGATGAATATATGCATGGAAACAGTGCATTGTTGTCAAATATCACAAGATGAGAAATGAAAATAGACATAAAAAGCTAATTTCTCATCCCTGAAATTCTTTTTTTTAAATGTATTTTTAGTTGTCAACAGATTTTTATTTTAGTTATTTATATGTGGTGCTGAGAATCAAACCCAGGGCCCCATACATGTCAGTCAAGTGCTGTGCCAGTGAGCCACAACCCCAACACTCATCCCCAAAACTCTTTGCTTTCTACAGAATAAGATCCAAGCTGTTCACTATGTCATTTAAGCACGGCGGTGCACAATTTTGATTCCACTGTACTGATGTCACTTTACTTGTGTTGACTTCCCTAAGATGAATTCTCTCTTGGTCCAACCTCTCACTGCCATGCTGGGCTTGTGCACATTTCAGGATGGCCTTCACATCATTTCTTCATTGCTCTTTACATTTCTCCATCTTTTAAGGCTCAGATTATTCATTGATTCAACAATGAGATAATGTCAAAAGAATAAAAAATGAGGTTCAAACCCCTGTAAGATTTTTAAATTCTGACAACACTAAAGTAAAACTAAAACCCAAGCCAAATCAAAAACCCCTCACAAATGAAGACTATCTGGCAAATAAATTCAATTAGGAAATTATGTAATAAAAAACCATGGGACACGGTCTAAGTTGCAGTCAAAGCAAAATTTATTATAATCTTAAGCCTTGTTAATAAAAATAGAATTAAAATGAATTACACATTCAGTTTTCTAACCAAATATTTCTAACCAAAATGAGGCTAAGAAAATAAAGGAAAAAATGCAAAATAAAATAAACTGAAAACACAAAACATGCAATTATAGAAGCAATACAGAGTTTCAAATAGCTTTGGACAATGAGGACATTTAAATAATTATAAGAAATAAATTTAAATGATGCTAAGCTAATAAGTTTGAGAATATAGATGCAAAAGTTGATTTTTCTGGGAACATACAAGTTTTCGGCGGACACAACAATTTTTTGGTTTTTGGCAGACACAACATGGGAACATACAAGTTTTCATAATTGGTTTAAGATAAAATTAAAAATTAAAGAGATCAATAACTATAGGGGAAAAACATAGAAAAACAGCCAGGATGCCCTCCTCAAAATAGAACTAGGTTCAAAATTTCACTGGTGAGTTCTATAAAACTTTAAGAAATAAAAATCCTTATTGAAATGAGCACACAGAAAACAAATAAAAGAAAGACCTGACAAAGCTAGTATAAAATTTAAATCACAATTACTTATAGTTTCTGATATACAAAAGAAACATTAGCAAACAGCTAATGACCACTAGAGAGTCATTTTTAGGGAATATAAAAATAATTCGTGATTAGAAAAGTCATTACTATAGTTCAAAATATTTGGTTAAGAGAAAAGCCATATGACATTAAAAAAATGTTGAAAAGGCTTGCCTTCAAAGTTCTCCATTATTGTATTTTTTAAGAAATAAAAATGAATCCATTTTAAGTGCAATTCAAATACATTATTAAACAAGTAGCAACTTAGAAAACAGCCTCATTACAGAGAGAAGGCAGGATGGAAAATGGCATTGAGTGGGAAGGCAGGAAGCTGGGATCTAGATTACATCTCCAGCCAGCCACCTCCACTCCACCTGTCTTCCTGCTATCTACACTGCAACACCTATTAGGCTCCTCAAACTTAATACACCCAAAAGCAAACTAGAGACTCCCTACCTCAAACTTGCTTCTCTCCCCGTTTTCCCAGTCTTAGTAATGGAGTAAGTCTACCCCTCCCACTGCTTGAAAAGAACTCCTCATTTTTTCCTCCCATGTCCCATATCAAATCCATTAGTAAGTGCTGTTGCCTCTACTTCTGAAATGTAACCAAAACCTCCCTTCACTGCAGCTCCTGCTACCCCGAGTCGGAGCCACGGTCATCTTCTGCGGCCTCCTCACTGGCTACAGCCACACATGACCAGAGCGGCCCCCCACCTTTAAAAGTAAGTCTGATCACATTAGTCCTTTGCTTAAAACTTCCAAAAGCATCTTTCTCATTCATAATAAAAGCACTCGTCTTCACCACGGCTGAGAAGGCCTCAAGGAGGCCTTTGGTTTCCCTTTGAATCCTTCTTTTTTGCTTCTTTAAAAATCTCTCCACTCTGTCCACTCTTGACACACTACACCCTCAGTACACCCTCAGGGCCGTGACTCTGGATAACACAACCCAGTCCTCGGAGCCTCTGGGTTGCTGCTCCCTTGTCTGGAGTGCTCCTCCACCACATACCTATTTTGCTCACTCCCCCTCTTTTGTTGATTCCTGCCTCTGTTATCTGTAGCCTTGCCAGAGAGGCTTTCCTTAACTCTTAAAAAACAGCACCTAGTATTTTGGCTCTTTACCCTGCTTTCTTTTTCTCCTTAACATTTTCACCACCTGACATGTTTACTAGACCCCCTCTAGACTATCATACCCATGAGAGCAGAAACTACATAGGCTTTTGTTCATTACTCTCTAATGCTTAAATGCTTAAAATATATTTAGCATAAGATAGTGGTTCAATTAGTATTTGTTTTTTGATACTTGGGATTTAACCCAGGACCCTTTAACCACTGAGCCATATTTATTTTATTTTTATTTTGAGATAGGGTATCACTAAGTTTTTTAGGGCCTTGCTAAATTGCTGAGCCTGGCCTCGAACTTGTGATCCTCCTGCCTCAGCCTCCCAAGTAGCTGGGATTATAGGTGTGCACCACCATACCCGGTTCTTCAATTAGTATTTGTTGATTAAATGGTCTTTAAACTGCTAATATTAGTTTGTGAGCCCCTTTGATTTTCAATTTCTTCATCTGTAAAACAAGGGAGTGAGATTAAATTATAGGATATTTCTAGCAATAAAATCATAAAATTTTTATTAAAAATGAGTTTTATTCTTTTTTTTTTTTTATAAAAATCTCAAGACATGAGACTATTTTAGAAGCCAAAATTATTTTGGGGTTTGTCACTTACTTTAAGAGTAACAGCTGCTGCCTTGATGATAAAGTCATTTACTGACACTTTAATGTCATCTGAAAGAAAAATAAACATTAAAATTAGTATTCACATTAAAACTTCTACCACTGACCTTTACAATGTCAAACTTGTAAATTATGAACTGCTCTGACAAACAATGATAAAAAATATCATAGATGTTTATTTTCTGGTTTAGTTAATAAATTTCCCCTAATGAGAAAAACTTATGTTTATATGATTCCTAGATAAAGAATAAATGTAAAAGCTCACTTCTAGGGACTGAGGGTGTATCTTAGAGATAGATCAATATAGGCCTAGCATGCTCAAAACCTTTGATTCAATTCCCAGCACCCCCTCCCCCCAGGCCACACACACATATAACATCATTTCTGGATCTTTATTACAATTTTTAAAAAGTACTTGGATATTATGCACGAGAAGTTTAAGGATATATAACAACTATAATTAGAAAGAAAGGAACCAACTCCCATATCTCTAAAAAGACAAACGTTCTCTCTGTGTTGTTTGTAACCAGGAAGTTTACAAGATGATTCTTTTTTTTTCCTTTCTCTTCAAATGTCCTTATTCTGTGCATGCTTTGTAATATATTAACTATATAGAAGAGCAGTATATGTAAATGCTTTAGATAAACAATTATATGTATTTATAGGGTATGTTGAAAAATTACTTTTTACTAATGGGGGTAAAAAGAATTTAGGATGGCCACAATATTAAACAAGAGCTTCTTTTAAACTCAACACGACAGGATATGGCAAATGCCAAAGATGAAGCAATGTTGGCACAGGTCCTAGTGCAATGAATAAAATGAGGTTCTCTGTCTAGATTTATGGTGAATCCATTTGAATTTATTTCCTCCCAGTATACATAATGATTTTAAGATAAAGCTGGGGTCCCCTCCCTTTCCACAGAACTGATCAGAGCTAAAGTATTTGCTTTATACCTCTGCTTTTGCAATGGTATGAAGGTGTTGGAAAATATAAACCACACCCAATTCTTTCTTGCAAGAGATTCTAGAAAAAAATCTAGTCAATGGTATGTGGCAAGACACACATATCCTCTTAATATAGTATCATGGAATTTTATATGAACAATCGTTCTTTTTGGAAGTATGCTGGAGATTTTAGAAAGAGATTAACTGCCAGGAACTGAAATACTGACAAACTGTCATAGTAAATGTTGGCTCCACGAGAGTATAGCTCATCTAATTCAGATACCCAGAAACATACGAACATTCTGGTTTGTTTGTTTATAACCCCTCTAGGAGTAGAAATATAAATAAATTTTCAGTGTTCAGAGACTTTTAATAGTAACACCACACAAAAGATTTGGCCTGAAAAATTCAAAATACATGCACATGTTTTACGAGTTCATTCCACTTCCTTGCACACCTCTCCCAGTCTCTTTCTCACTTCACCTACTCTCTGTAAGCATAGAGTGAAACTCTATAGCCACCTAGCTGCTGCTGACTCCCAAATCTACTGGCTAAGCCCACAGTTCTCACCTGGAGTTCTGTCCTCACCATATTCCAACACTTACTTGTAAGCATTCTTGAGTTGATCAATTTCTTCACTTTGAAACACTTTCACTTACTACTTCCTGTGTCACCATTCTCTCATGGGTTTCTTCACTGTCTACTCACTCAGTCCCTCCTTTTAATGTTGGCATCACCCAAACAGAAACTTTTGGTTTCATGGTTTTGATACCATTTATATGATGCTGAATCCTCCAAATACTATTTCTATCCTAAGCTATTTGCATCTTCAGACTTGTACATCTAATGTCTCATGTGCTATTTCTACCTACATGGCTAACAGGCATCTGAATTCTAACATGTACAAAGGAGATTCTCCTCAAGTTCTTCTGTTTTTAACTTGTTGTTATTATAGAAATTTTGAACACTAATGACACTTACTGAATAGGAAACAGTTTGTAATGATGTACTAATAATGAAAAACAAATGTTTTCGTTGGCATATTGTTGTTAAAAAAGTAAAACAACGAACAAACTTTACAGATATTATAACCTTATATGAGAAAGAGGAATACAGATAATGTGGGTTCTCTGAAGACTCATGAGAAAATCCTTAATTTATCAAACTATGTAAAGATACTAAGTTAATCCGTACCTCCATTGAAATATTACTGCTTCTTGACTCAGGAAGAAAACAGGAAAATAATTTATGACTAAGAAAGTATGATTGGAGATATGAGGACTGCTTCCATAGTTAATTTTTTTGTTTTGTTTTGTTTTAATTGGTTACACATGACAGTACAATGATCTTGACATATCATACATTTGAATCAGATGGGATATAATTTCTCATTTTTCCAAGTGTACAGGTTGCAGAATTACATTGGTCAGATAGTCACGTATATACCCACAGCTTTTTCAAAAGGTATCCCTTTCTATCGAATGGCCTTCTGTTTGGTTCCTTAACCTTTAAACAGCAGTCAGTCTGTCTTCATATGAAATGCTGAAAGTCTGAATACAAACTGACTTATCTTATCACTCCTGCTTTTAGTCACAGTGTAGAAAGCTGCAAGAAAGTCATTCCCACCCTAACAGGGTGGAGAAAAAAGCAGGATAAATTACAAAACCCTAACTTTTCTGAGCCCTTTTTTTGGTCAACTTTTATAGACTAAACATAGCAGAGAAAAGAATCTGAATTTCAAGTTACATAAATAAAAATTATCCAAACCGAAGCATCTAACATGTTCAGATAATCCAGTCTAACACTATAACTTGAATCTCAAAGAGAAAACACACAAAGTAGAAGATACAGTTAATAATTCTGGAAATTTTCCAAAATTAGGGTTAAAGACAATAAACAAGAAGCCAAGAAAAATCCAAACAGGATAAATATAATCAAGTGGGGGAGAAATCCTAGGTATTTAATAGTCAAATAGCTAATAGAGAAAATCTTAAAGAAAACAAGAAGGGGTAAAAGCATACACCGGGGAACAAAGATTAATAATAGCAGCAGACATTTTGCAAGCCAGAGGACAGTGGATGATATCTTTAAAAGTTTTGAAACAAAAGACCCTTAACTCAAAAGTTTACACCTAGCAAAATTACGTTTCAAAAATTAAGGTGACATATCCACCAGGATATTCTTTTTTAATCTAAAAAATTACAAAATAACAAGCGTTGGTATGGATGGGAAGAAATTAGAACCCTCACACACACTGTTGACAGGAATGCAAAATGGTGAACCATACCTGGGCAACCAGGTTCTTCTGCAATTCTGCTACTGGGGACATTTCCAAAAGATTTAAAAGTAGGAATTCAGAGATATATGTGCATTCATGGCAGCCCCATTCACAACAACAAAAGGTAGAAAAACAATCCATGTATTTACCAACAGATGAGTGGATGAACAAAATATACTGTGTACACACAATGACTTAAAAAGGAAGGAAATTTGGATCTGTGCCAGTTCAAAATGAACCTTGAAAACATTACATTAAGTAAAATGATAAGCCAGTAAAACACCAAGTACTTTATGATTCCACTTCATGTGAGGTGCTTACAGTAATCAAATTCAGAAAGCAGGACCAGGCACAGCCACACCTATAATCTCAGCAGCTCCTGAGGCTGAGGCAGGAGGATTGTGAGTTCAAAAACCAGCCTCAGCAAAAGCGAGGTGCTAAGCGACTCAATGAGACCCTGTCTCTAAATAAAATACAAAATAGGGCTGGGGATATGACTCAGAGGTTAAGCATTACTGGGTCCAATCCTTGGTACCAAAAAAAAAAAAAAATCAGAAAGTACAATGGTGGTTGTCAGGGGTTAGGAGAAGAGAGGAATGGGGAGTTAGTGTTTAATATGAATGTACCTAATACCACTGAAATAACATTTAAACATGAAACAATCTAAAGAAAATTCTTTATAGAGAGGAAGAATGATAGCAGACAGCACTTTAGAGTTACACAAAGAAATGAAGACTGTCAGAAATGGAAAAACTATGCATATACAAAGAGACACCCCCCCCCCATTTTAAAACTCTTTTTTAAAGAGTTGATTTGCTATGGAAAAAAATCAATAAACATGTATCCTATGCTGGCACCACACAAAGAAACAAAGGATGACAATAACAGCACAAAATATAGGACAGAAAAAATGTAAGTAAATGGTTGTAAGGCTCTTATACATAAAATATTGTGATAAAAGTTGAAGGCAGACTGGGATAAGTTAAAGAATTAGATTATAAATTCTAAGGGAGCCATTTCAAAGAGAGGAAATGGGGGCGGGAATAAAATAGAAATAAAATACAATCATAAAAAAAAGGGACTCTAAAAGGAGATAAGAGGTGAAAAAAGGAAGAAGAGATAGAACTAAAAGTCAAAAGAACAAAATGGTAGATTTAAATCCAACCATTACATCAAATGTGAATGGTCTAAACACCTTAATTATAATAGAGATTGCAAAATTGCATAAAAAATGCAAGAACCAACCATATACTATCGCAAGAAACCTATTTAAATATAAGGACACAGATTAAAAGGTTATTCTATAAAAATACAAATCAAAGTATTCTTGAGTGGCTAGTAAAAGTAGAAGTCAATGAAATTAAAATCACAGAAACAACTGAGAAAGTTAATAAAATCAAAGAAAACTGATAAACCTCTATCTGACAAAGGCAAGAGAAGACTCAAATTACTAACATTGAAAACAAGTTATCACTTCAGATTATAGAGGTGTTATAATAAGATGTTATCATGAACAACTTTATGCCAATAAATTTGCTAACTCATATAAATGATAAAAATACAATCCCTAAAACACATATAATATAAAACGCTGAAAACAAAATCTCTGTATCTGGTTTTAAAAATTGAATTTGTAGTTAAAAGCTCTATCCAGAAAAAGATCCCAGGCCTAGACAGCTTCACAGCTTCTGCCCAACAATTAAAAAATACAAATCCTACCAAAACTCTTCCAGAAAATGAAGGAGGAGGAAACATTCCCCAACCTATCTAATAAATCTGATAACCCAGAAAAATAATCGCAAGGAAAGACAACTGCAAGCCAGTATTTCTCATAGGCAAGATTCTCAAGAAAATTTTAGAAAATGAAATCAAACGAATATGAGTAAGTTAATGACTGAATGGTTTCATATGTGGACTATCAATTCATTCCATGTGTGAAGTTCAGTCAACAATAACATCAGGGAAAAAGAAAGATTACATCAAAAGATGCACAGAAAACATCTAACAACATTCAACGTCTCTGGAAACGAGGAATAGGAATTTCCTCAATCTGATAAAAGAGCATCTACAAAACTTACTTTTAATGTTAAAGACTAAATGCTTTCCCCCACATCAAGAATTTCTGCTTTTACTACTTATATTCATTATTGCACCAAAAACCTCAACCACTGCAATAAGAAAACAAAACAAAAGGAAAAAGTTTGGAAAGAGAACTAAAACCATCACGCTAAAAATCATTGTCTCTAGGCAACTTCGTTATTAGTTGATTTTTTGGGAGGAGCATTACGAATTTAATAACCTAAAAAAGCATTTTGAAGAAATATAAAATTAAAATTTGTGAAAAAAGAATGACAGATATATTTACAATCAAAAATATTCTTTAAATCAGTTTTTAATTTTAATTTTAAGCTTGCTAAAAATGTTCTGCTCAGATGTCATTATCAAAAAGTATTCAAAATAAAAACAACCATCTAGCTTAAGCAAGTCATGCATGTGTCCTTACAAAAACATTAACCTATGTGTAAGTGAAAGCGTATTAAAAAATTAAGTCAATTTTTACAAACAAAACAAAACAAAAAACCCAACAACATACCCAACCCACCAAACCATAACACTATTTACAGGGCTAGAATGCGGCACAGAGCTGGACTCAACAACTGCATGCCAAATGAATGCACCTTATTGAAGTATCAAAACAGATTCTGTAATAAGCAACACAGAACAGAAATCCTTATTCTGCACAAAGGTAACACATCCGTGATTTATTCATAATAATGTAATATGTAATAAGCTATGGAAATAATTTATTACACATAAGGAAACATAATCAATTCTTTTCTCTAGTACTAAAATATACCTAGAGTGCAATTAGATTATGAAACTGAATTTAAAAGTTACATAAATGTGAATTTTAAAAATAAAGGATTCCATGATGATTAGGTTAGCACATGTATTTATTGCATTAAGTAAATTCAACTTAACTAACCTTTGACCAGATCTTGTCTAACTTTTAAAACTGCTCCAAGGTCACAATCAGCAGTAGCATATGCATGAGGTACAGTACTTTTAGATTCAGTTAACCTCTTGGCAATAACTCTTCGTATATTGCTAGCAGGAATTTCAGTGAATGTGCCCTGAAAACAAAAACAAATAAACAAAACCACAGGAATTTGTCCATTAAACCATAAGTAGAATAGAAAAATATAAAATGACTTTCCATCTGAAATCCAGTCTGTGACCCAATTAATGATACTGATCAAAGATTAATATAGAACTGGGAATGTAGCTCAGTTGATCGAGTGCCTGCACTGCATGCACAAGGCCATGGGTTCAATCCCCAGCACCACACACACACCCACACACACACACACACAGATAAATATAGGAAAAGTACTATTAATAACTCTTTGTATAAAGGAAAGGGGAATGTAATAAATCTAGAAGTTTTAGGCTTTAGTATACAACTTTAGGAAAAAGTTGTAAAATTCAAGTCTCAGTTGTAAATAGGATATCTTATGTTACTATGTTTAAGATAATTCAAAAACACATATCAAATGATTAATTCCCCACAGGTGCATGTGATGAGTAAATCTATACATATATATCAGATATTATACATGCATACTCTATACACACACACACATACACATACATATAGAAACATGTATGTGGATTGTAAGCAGCTTTTGTTACAAATTTCATTTAATAAAACTCAAAGCAGCCAATAAAACAACAATCCAACTACAGGAAATTCTTATAAAAAATGGCATAGAAAAGAAAAAGATAATCCAATATAATGGATAGTCTCTCAAATTATTTCTGTTTTGATTTGCAATTTGAAACAAAACCATGAGTATCTTATTCCTAGGAATTAAAAATATAAAGTATGAATAAGATAATAAAATCTTTCTATAACTTTACTATAACTTTTCCATTCTGTTCTTGAACCTCACACAAATGAATGATGGACTTCAAATTACATCTAATCCCTTCCTTTTCCCTTCACTCCATTCCAGGACAGAACTACAATCACCTTAGGATAATATAATGCAACCAAAAACACAGCTGATTTCTTTTTTTTATATATCATCTCTTATAAAATTAAACATCTATGTTAGCAAAGCATTTGACCAAGTAGAATAAAAGCTCTCTACATTATGTAAGTATCTGAAAGACTTATCTTTTTCATGTGAACAATCTGCTTTAAAAAAAAAAAAACTGGATTTAACTATGAACAAAGTTTTGCATATGCAGTCATGAATCATCAATGTACATTAAAAAATCTGTCTCATAAACTTGTACTGTTTTCATCTCTTTTCAAAAATTATAATGAAATGTATTTCTCCATAAGTAAGAACAGTACAGGTATTTATTCTTTTTATTTTTTTAAGTGCCTATTCAATTTTTAATCTAATTGTCCTGCATTTCTTTGACAGCAAGAGAAGGAATACAGAAAGGAAAAATCTGAAAACAAAACATATAGCTGTTCAACTGCATGTATCTGAGAAGGCAAGTATGATTAGTTATATGATTCAGTCTGCACAGTTTTTCATAGTGAGTTTATCAATTCTCTAGCCAAGAATTAAAACATATCCATAAAAGGAGCCAGGGTCAGCTACAAATTATTATTACATCCAAGAAAAAAAAAGAAAAGACATAGAGTATCATGATTGTAGAGCATACGTATGGTACTAAGGTTGTGGAACTTACAAATTTAAGCTGAATCATAGTTCTAAAGTTCTACATAGAAGTCGGCACAAATTCAGTTTGTGCTAGGAAATCTGCAAGAAAAGCACTGGGAGCATTTTTTTTTTCTTCATAACTTTAAACTATTACTAAAATGGATTGATAAAAATACTCATAAAACATAGCAATTGTCCTAGTTTTCCCTCCCACTTATCTACAAAATGAAAACCTTACTCAGAGTACATTACCACAGCATTGGGTTGTCCAGGAATTGATACTGCTGGGATCATTGGCCGGGGATAAGATGGTCCAGGTGTGGCTTTTGGGGGCAAAGGTGCTATGGGAGTGGTTGGAGGAGCTGGGGCTGGTCTGGATTCAGTAATCTTGCCCGTCTGTTTCAACTGGACCAGGTTGAGAGCATCTCTGGAGATAAGAAGAAATCAGATAACTGTGATTAGCAACAAGATATATAAGACAGTTTTTATAAAATAGAGGCAATATGTGAAAGGAAGTTACAGAAATATAAAGACTAAAATATAATGCAAATCAATTATTTGAGCTAGAAAAGTAAATTCATTTGCTACATATTCTACAGTTTATTATTATTTGTCCAATGGCTACATGTATATTTTCAAAAACCAAATAATAATTAGAATTTTATCAAAGTATCACCTTTAGATATTAATTTTTAAAAATCGAATTAGTCTTTCATTGGAAGGAATCACTTGGTAGATGACCAATTCACTAATTAAAACATGTCCTCATTCTTTATACTTGTGAAATAATTTTTACATAGTGTTCAGAAAATTTCAAGTTATTATATGTGTGGCTAAAATACTTACTAAATCATTATTATTCTAGTGTAAATAATATTGTTTATGGCCAGGAAATCATATTATTTCAAATTTGTTCAATAAGCACAATCTAGTGTAATAAATGTAACACAGCATCATTTAAAACAAAAAATAACTAGTTACAGATTCTGTTTGTATCACTCTGTAATACAAATTTGTTTTTAAAAGGATATAACTAGACTACTGAAAATGCCAAGACCTCAATTCAGTGTGTTAAGTTATAGCATGTAAAAAGTAATGTACAAAACCAATACCTTGTTTGAAAAATTTAATACCTGAATTAAGAAATATTTTTCCAATTTAAGTAAAACTGTTTTCCTTAATATAAAACAACTTCAGTATGACATGAATCTAAAGATTTGAGGGACACCCCTAACACACACCGGAACATTTGGCAGGAAAGAGGATCGTTCCATGCTTTACGTTAGATCCAGAAAGGGGTTCATAAACTTATCTTTAAGTGCAGCTAACTTCCTTATTTAAAAAAATTAAAGAACTAACTTTTTAAATGAGAGGTCATATTGACAAGGAAATCTAAATTGGTACATCGTCTTGGATTCCTAAAAATGGGGGTAAAAGTGGAAATATGAGTCTATAATGTGGGAGGTAAGTGCTTGTGTTATTAATCTTATACCAGTCTTGTGGAAAGGTGTTATTAATCCTCATTTACAGATGAGTAGACTCAAAAAGGTTAAACCCTATGTCTATGTCAGTATTTCTTAGGTACTTACAGAATTCTGGATGTTAGGGGATGCAATGCTAAGCAAGATACTTCCCATCAAGGAGCTTTATTCTATAGGGGTAGTCATACAATAATCACATAAATTAGAATGACAGTGATGAATCTAACATAAAGAAAACAAAGCTGAGCAATAAGTTAGAGAGTGATGGACAAGAAGAGGGGTTATTTTAAAACAGAATGATCAGGGAAGATCTGAACAGATAATATTTGTGCTGAATGATGCAAAGGACAAAGACTCAAGAGTTGGGAAAATTACATTTCTAGGCAGAAGGAAGAACAAGTATAAAGGCAGAAAAAATGTGCTTCTTTTACTAACAGAGGAGGGTTAGTAGTGAACAAAGGGTTAGTGGTGAACAAAGTAGAGGATTAAAAGATAAAGGATTAAAAGTCAGAGAGGGAGACAGCTAAGAGCTGCCAGGGCTGAGGTCGAACTAAGGTATGGCCAACTCTAAAGCCTACACATCTCCTACCATTTTTTCAGTATCTATGGATATATAGCACAAGTTAAACATAAACTAGGACAGAGTTTTCTCATAAGAATAGAGAAGCAGAGAAGTTAAGTGTATCTAAGTTCAACAGCAATCCTGGGATTGAATAAAGAAATGGAATCTATCTAATCTAAAGCTATAAGTAGGACTTCCAGGTATTTGCTTTCTTAAAGACAGTCACATGTAGAAGCGAAGTAAAGTTTATATGCTTTTATACAACATATATTTAGAGCAATATGTTTGCTTAAATGTTAAATTAAAACTGACACCTATGATCTTCTCCAAAATGCCATGGGCGACAGGCACTTCCTCAGCAGTTGTAACTAACCGTTGTATCCTACTTACACTTGCAGTAGACAAGGTATGGAAGAAAGACATCCTCACCATTTTTAGAAGGTGTGCTAAGATATTTTGAGGCAGCTTATGCCAAAGCCTGCAAGTTTTCAATCATTTACGATGACCTTTCTGTAGATGAAACCAGGCCAAAATTTTTGCCAAAGCTCACCTTAGGATTAAACTTAAAACACAGGTACTTTTAGTAGCATATAACACCAAAAATCCTCAATAATGCATGAAGAATCCATTTTTCTCCTGAAACTTTTTATAAATTTTGTATTTGGACAACCAAAGGTTGACTTCCATTTTTTTAAAAAAAAATATATATGTATATGTATTTTTTTTAGTTGTTGATGGAACTTTATTTTCTATACAGTGTTAAGAATCAAACTTAGTGCCTCATACATGCTAGGCAAGCGCTCTACCACTGAGCTACAACACCAGCCCAATTGACCTCCTTATGGTTAAGGAACAACTTGGGAAGAGAACTGAATAAAAAAACTGGCAAAAATATTAAAAGGATATTTCTTCAATATTGCTTTCTTAGGCTATTCAGAAGATAAAAGCATTTATGCTCCTCTTAGGAAATATGACGATAATGTTATGATTTTCAATGTAGGTTTAAAAAAAAATTTTAGGATATCTATACAAATTATATATATTAAGTATAGCTAGGAGAAAAAAGAAAAGAAGAAAACTTTATTTCTTTACTCCACTACTGTCACACTGCTGACCTGCTTCCCATAAGGTCAGCTAACCACCAAGTTCAAGGACCTTTTCTTAGATTCGACCCTTATTTTCATCTATATCCCAGAGGTCTCCCAATACAAGAATTTAGCCTTTTAAATAATTTAGCTCCTGATGATCTAAATGACAATTACTGCTTTATTATCTACCAAACCTACCTCTCTAATCCCAACCTATCTTCTTTGATATATCTTTATCCCACTGCTCCTAACTGGAAAGCTTCTAAGTGCTGACAATAAGCTTCAAATAATACTTACTTCACCAAGACAAAAGCTTTCCCAAACCCCTTACTTTCATTTCCAGAGCCAACATTTTCATCATCCACACCAGAATACCAAATCCACTCGTGGATTTGTTGCTGTCCTGGGCTGTGCGCCACATTCAGCCTTTCACAAAGGCTTCTGTACTCTACCCTCATGCTGTCTGCATCAGAGTTTCTTTTAATTCCTCTACCCACATGCAAGCACAATATTCATCATCTCTTACCTGGATTACCTATGAGCCAGCAAATCTCAACTTTCTCTTTACCTCATGTCTTTGCCCAAACTCAACTCACACAAACCTGCAGAACCAATCCTTTTAAAGCCATAATTATTTTGCATTTCACTAAATCTTTCAATGATTAATGAATTAAACATAATCTCTTCATCTAATCCCTTAAAATTATAGGCAAAGCAAGTCTATTTTGTTATGAAGATAGTTGTTTTATTCCATTTTTATGGGCAGATCTACTAAGCATAGATCTAAAGTTAAGATATTAATAGTATTTACTGAATGAAGGTTGATATGGGGAGAAAACCAGGCTTAAATGCTATCAGGATTCTTAATTTTAGTGTTTTATGGCTAAGTGAAACCTTCAAGTCCTTTAACTAAAAATTCCACAATCTAGGATGTTGCCATTCAGTAGGTTCTCAGGAAAGCTGATTTCCAACTCAGTGTATGTAATGGACCCATATACACATTTAGATAACATGAATCAGTAAGATCATAATATAGATAAATGAGAACACTTAAGAAATAAAGCCTTTCTATTTTCAATAAAAGAAACACTCAAAAGTAATCCAATATTCTAATGAATAGTAAACTAGTGAAAATAAGTCAAGTCACCTTGTTCAGCATTTATTTTATAACCTTTACTCTATTTCTACTTACAAAAATTTCGCCCAGAATTATTTATTAATATTAAAGATGGAATGAGCATATTGCTTTAAAACACTAACTCAATTTGAAATGTTTAATGTGACTGCCTAGACAAATGTGGCACATATCCACTACAGTGGTTTTACATTATTAGTTTCATAAACCTACTTGTTTATTCTTTGTCTTCTCAGAATGAGTCCCAACAGAAAAGGGGCCATCTATTTAAATAACTCTTGAAAGACTTACAAATTGAAACAAATGGAAAGACACACCAGTTTCTTGAGAAGATTCATCATCATAAAGATGCCAGCTCTTAATAAATTAATTTAGTACAATTACATAAAAATACCATAGCACCCCCACCCCACATGGAGCTAAAAGAGTTGTTTAAAATTCATGGGGGTGGGGTACTGGGATTGTGTCTCATGGTAAAGTGCTTGCCCAGTATGTGTGAAGCACTGGGTTCGATTCTCAGCATGTATATAAATAAATGAATACAACAAAGCCCATCAACAACTAAAAATATATATAAAAAAATTCACTTGGGAGAATAAAACAAGAACATACCAATAAAACCAGTTTATTGAAAAAGAAGACCAATGGAAAAAATATGATTTCTCTATCAGCTTTTAAGGCATAACTATAAAATCCTTTTAATTGTAAGTATGGTGCTAAAAATGTATGGTACCAACTTACGGAAAAACATCAATGGACTAGAAATGAAAATACAAAAGGAAAAATGCTTTGTAACCAATTAATAAATCTGAAATACATAAAAATCAAATTGTTTAAAAAATGTATTTCCACATTTTACAAGTTAATTGTGATTGGGTGACAGTTTAACACAAACTTGAAACAATATAGTTTTACTGTTCTACACTTAATTTTCTGCATTTATCATTACTTCTAAGAATCTGTTTAGTTGCTAAATTAGAACTGTTTTTCAGTTATGTTGCAATTATTCAGAAAACTATCCTTGTTCAGACCACAATTTAGTGACAAAAGCAATTAAAAGCACAAAAGAACAATGTACCTCCTTTTTAATGTTAACTCATTAAAAAGGCTTTTAAATTCTTTCAGAAAAAAAAAAGAAAAGATAAATAATGGACTTGATTATTATAGAAAGCACACACATACTCTTTAGTGAATATCCCCCGAGGGCCAGTAGCTGTACCCTGGCTAGCATTCAGTGCATGTTTCTCCAGAATATTTCGAGCAGCTGGACTTAAACGGAACCTAAGAAGACAATATGAAGATTAATTGAACTAATTAAGACTTATATTGTTTCAAATACATCTAAATGTCAACAGCTTTGCTGATAATTAGAAAAACAAAATCTTATACTAAAACTAAAATGACTCCCGTAGATGGACTTAGTCAGATAAATCTTTATCAATCTAGTTTATTTTATTATCAAACATTCTTGTAAAAATTTAGTTACTATTTCAAACTATTTATTTAATAAGAGTAAATAATCTAGTGAAAAGAGCTTCAATTCTGACTACGTTTCACATGGCTCCTGCCTTTTTTTTTTTTTTACTATAATAAACAATACATAAAACTTACCATCTTAAGCATTAGGTGTAAAGTTGAGTGGCATTAAGTACAATCCCACTGTTGGGGAACCATTATCAATCCCCAGAACTTTCTCAGCTGCCCAAATCAAAATTCTGTATATATTGAACAGTAACTGTTCATCTCTCCCTCCCCTCAAAACCCGACAACCACTGTTCTATTTCTCTCTACCAATCTGACTACTCTGAGCGTTTCTTCATTTAAGTGTAGTCACATAATATCTGTCTTTTAGTGATGGCTTATTTTATTCATCATAATGTCTTCAGAGTTCATCTATGTTGTATTATGTGTCAGAATGTTCTTCCTTTTCAGACTGAATAACATTTCAAGGTATGTACACAGCATTTTAGACACGAGTCATTGCTACCATTTTTCTACTGTGAATAATGATGCATAAACCTGGATATTCAAACACTGAGAGTCTGCTTTAAATTCTTTAGAGCATATACCCAGAAGTAGAACTGCTGAGTGATAAGGTAATCCTCTTTTTTTGAGGAAATGCCACATTGTTTTCTATAAGCAGCTGTGCCATTTTACATGCTCATCCGCATTGCATACAGTTTCAATTTTTTGCACATCCTCACCAACACTTGTTATATTCTGAGGTGGTTTTTTTGTTTGTTTGTTCTTGTTTTTTGGATATCAGCCATACTGATCAATGTGCTGTCTCATTCTGGTGGTTTCATTTTGCACTTCTCTAATGATTAGTGCAGTGAGCAACTTTTCATGTGCCTACTAGCCATTTGTTTATTTAAATTTCTGTGCCATTTTCAATTCTGGTTGTTTCATTGTTACTGAACTATATCCTTAATATAATTTTTAAAGTCCTTAGTATTACCTGAAAATGCTTCTATTTTTACATATACTCCAGAAGAATAAGAGAGGGGAAAAATAACTCATTGATTTCATGAGCTAGTAAGCCCATAGTCATATGACTAGTAAGCACCTACTTTTTAATTAAGGACTTTAAGCAAAGTAGCAAATGTAAATAACTACATAATCTCATGAAGAAAATGAGTAAAACAGGCTGGGTCTGAAAGTTTAAAACTGACAAATGGAGAACATTTTAATGTATTTGCTACTGTAAATACATCTACTTGATATGGGCCTACTGTCATCAAATTTTTAGATTTTTTCCAAGAGAAAGTGAAGTTTTAGATTATTGAATAAGATTAATCAGTAACCAATTAAAAAAAAATTTTTAAATCACTGCATGAACTAATAACACACAAGTTTATAGGCCATTTGGTGTTTAAGAGAATACATAGTGGGACTTCAGATTCATGAGTCTCTAATGAAGTTTGGTATATTGAGTGCCACTCTGGAATTCTAAAACCTAATTCAAATTCAATGTGAAAACAGACTTTTTGTTCTCTATTGGGCAAGCAGAGTCTTCAGAGCACCTGGAACGTAACAGGTATTCAGTATCTATTGCTGAATGAACAATGATGGTAAAATAAAATAACTTCCCTTATTTCTCAGTGTCCTCGAGAAATAAGGGAAGTTCAGTAACTTTCTACATAATGTACAAAGATGCTTTAAATAAGATAATAATTAAAACCATAAGAGGGCCATAACAATTTTTTTTAATTAACATTATCATTCAAATAAACATACTCACTGCGGTGTCCCTGCTGTGTGTTCCTTCTTAACAGGGAGAGAAATCTGTGGTTCTGATGAGGGGTGAGGCACTGATGGTTTTGAAACTGATGGTGGAGGACCTACATCTTTGGGAATTTCAACTTGTTTCCAATCTTGTCCTTCTTCAACCATCAAACCAATTAGTGAACCTAGTCGTATGTTTTTAATTCCCTCTTCAACCTGTATTTTAAAAACAAACAAACAAAAAAAGTAGAGATAGAAAGGCTCATCAATGTCAAGTAGTTTATGCCTTGATGGGTAATCAAGGAAAGATCTCTTAATTTGAACTGAGAGTCTCAACCTCCTACCTTCTTTCCCTTCTGCTTTCCACTCATGCCCTCCTTCACCAGTCTTCCTCTCCCATTTATTAATAATACTTCCTGAGATGAAGGAAAAATCTAGAATCTCTCATTTTCATGGCAGCCTTCAAATATGTGAGTTACCATTGGTTTACTGTTTTTGATGTCAACTAACACAAATCTAAAACAGGAGACTATGGTTACATATCTCAATTATTTTGTCTTTCTCAGACAATTTCTATACATTGTCTTTCTCAATTTTTACACATTTCAAGAGCTCATATGGGCTTAATCCCCCCATTAGTCCTATCTACTAAAATTAATTTAAAATAAAATCTTTTCAGTAAACTTAGTCTCTGTGGGAAGGCCAGGGAAGAATGTTCCATTGTATAGATAGTAATTGAACTACTGAACTATTGTATTGATAGTATTGAACTGGCTAACTATTCTGGTTAATGTTAAGAATATTTAACTTTAGTATTTAATTCTTCCCCTGAATATCTACTTATAGAATCTGAAAAATAAAATAAAATTATGAGTTTTTAAAAGTTTATCAATAACATTAAGGTGTCCTACTTAACCAGTTTTTCAGATAATATTTACCAACTAAAAACCTAAGATCAAAGATGATTTTTTTTAAATTAAGAAAAATAATTTTAAGCATATCAGCAGTATTAACTTATAAATGAAAGGCTGATTCTGATTTACTTATTAAATGAAGTCCCTAGAAAACCTGTAGATAACAATATTTGGAGGCTTAGTATTGGAAGAAAATGTCATTCCTTTAAAATTTTCTATTATTTCCTTTCAATTACTCTAAATAATGCTCATCACAGATGTATCTAATGAATAGCAGAATTATAGGCTGTAGGACATTCATTAATACAATAATTATAAGGAAAAGCATAATACCTAGCATGGGTTTGACATTTCAGAGTTACACTGATTCTGATGTATATTAGTATGTGCATTATTCTTAAAACAATAAAACATAAATTCTGAGAACTAGAAAGCCTTCTAAATTTACTAATTACCGATGGGGAATAAAAGGAACAATACTTTAATGAAGCACATGTATATATACACGTATACATTTATATACAGATAAATGGACATATGAAACTAATTAAGAATAAACAATGAATTATAAGCTGTGGGAAAAGACCAAACAATCCAAGAAAAATTTAGTTGCAAAAGTTTTACTTCTGCAAACTATTCATTTTTCATGTCAAAAGATGAGTTAAGATTATTATTAGGTTAACATTTTCTCCATCTAAAAGTGTTTAATTAGCTGTTTATGAGATGCCTACTAAAAATCACAAAGTAAACGAGTAATTCTTTAAAAACTCATAGAAATAAGAAGCATTAAATGATATGAAGTCCACTTGATAATTCCTTTCAAGACTGAATCAGCCGTAAGATCAGTATCCAAGTACAAAGAATATGATTCAAATGTAAACCATTCCCTTGTAGGGGAAAATTTTGTTTTAAAAATATCAATAGATTTCTGAAATGTGAGTCAGATACTGTACTAAATTTGAAACTGAAATCTCCTTTTCTAATTTACTGTAAATCATATATATGATTCCACATATATCCTACCAACATGACATTAACATTTTCAAAGAGGCAGTAACAAGTTTTTATTATCATTTCACTTTTTACTGTATCTAAATATCAAACAATATTTAAAGTACTCACATTTTTTCCCATGCTAGAGAGAGAGAGAGAGAGAGAGAGAGAGAAAGTGCACGAAACATAAATATTTAAAAGTGGGGTAGACTTAGTACATAGGAGTAAATTATACTTTGCAAAACTGTGTTTAGAAACCAAAGAGGCCTTTGGCACTGTTGTGTCTCCTCTGTCCAAATCAACACCATAAATGCATGCTGTTCTACCAAAGTACTGGAGCTTTAGGACACCTGAAACATACAGGGTACACCTTTGGCTTACTTGATCAAAGCCTTCTATTACTCTTGTGCCATTGACTTCTAAATATGAAATGAAAAAATTTTACACTTTGCCCTATAAACTTATAGCTTATTAATAGTAAAATTTTGAATTAAGTCCGTCATTCAAAGTACTAGCGTTCCTTCCCAGTTTTGTATAGACTTCCTGGGTTTCAATGCTGAAACTCCATTAATTACTAGTTATATGGTCTTAGGTTTGTCTATTTCACCATGCCGATTTCTTTAAAATAAAAACCAGTAACAACAGGTATGTGTGGTTGTTATGAGGAATAAATGAGTTACATGTGAGGCACTTAGAAGAACATGTCACTTACCATAAATATTAAAGATATTACTTTTAAATCAAGAAATACTATCAACAGGATCAAAATTGGAGTGCACCTTGATAAGGGCTGGAAATTCCTGCCTAATGGCCCAGCATGTGGCTGGTAGCACTAGAGGGCAAATAGCAACATATAAAAGGTGGTAAGGCCTGAGATAAATTCTTAATAACACTGATAGGCTAAATTTCATCCCTCTACCTGTACCAGAGATGTTCCCAAGCAGTGACATTAAACATCTGCAACTATACCAAATAGAGCTCACCTATGTTTATCAGTGTACCCAAAAGTATGGAATGCTGAAATCAAGGCACAAAGTAAAATTAAAGTGTGCTAAGTATTATTTTACATTTAAAATATAATTCAGATGCAAAACTAAAAGAGTATTTAGAAAGCCAAACTGTGAAGATAAAATACAAAACCTCTTAAATTTCTAAGAGTAAAATGTACTATGATTTCTAAGCCTTTCAAATATGTGTGCTCAAAATTGACATTAGAGTTGCAGTACTTATTTTCAGTGTTCAGTTTAATTTTATTATCATCCCTTGGCTTTTAATAAGCTCAATTATCCAACTCTTTGATTCCGAAAGCAGAAGTCTCTTAAATGTATTACTCCTGTAAAAATCATGTTATTTTGTTTGGAAAAATGAGAATTATTCCATAGCGAAAAAGATGGGTACAACTCTTGCTGGTGGTGATGGTGGTGAGGGTTGAAGCAGGAGAGAAGACAAAACCAAAAGGCACTAGTGAGCCCACCTTAATTTGTTCCCTCTGTGAAACTGTATAACATTGTGACATGAATATACTTCCACTACCATCGTCCAAAAAGCATGTAGAATAATAATAAAAATACAAAGCCCTAAAACACACAATCTTTTCTTTGGCAGGAATACCCTCCTAAACCTTTCAGAGCATTAGGGACCATATGAATAGGCACTCCTGACCCACTGACATAGTTAGCCATTTGAAATGCATTACTAAGCAGTTAAGTGGAAAATGCTATAAATTCTGAGAGACTTTTTCAGCCAAGCAATTCAGAACTAGGGCCAAAGGCACAGCCTGTCAAAAGCACACCCAATAAAATGCAAACTGGGTTTATTACATATGGCAATTTAAGCAATCTTTCTCTTCCTCAAAATACTACATAAATTAGTCAAATTATTTTTGGTAAGTATATTTTTTTATTTTCTCAGTTATAAAGGTAAACATTTTAATCTTCAATTCAGACTTCCTCTGAGGAAGTTAACTATATTTTAAACAACGTGCTTCAATCATAGACAGATGTTTGATATAATAAGATGTCAGGAATAAAGCAAGTGGTTAGAAAATATACACATAAAAGGCAGTGGCACATGCCTGTAATCCCAGCGGCTTGGGAGGCTGAGGTAGGAGAATCTGTAGTTCAGAGCCAGCCTCAGCAACAGCAAGGCACTAAGCAACTTATTGAGTTGCTAATAAAAAACAAAATAGGGCTGGGGATATGGCTTAGTGGTCGAGTGCCCCCAAGTTCAATTCCTGGTACCACCTCCAAAGGACCTTCTAGTAAGAAACACTAATTTAAAAGTTATAAGATCTATATCTAATTAGAGTATAACATTCCAAGGTATGGCCTTTGGACCAAATAGACAATGGAAGGTGTTATATCCATCCTAAATGCAGAGATGAGCTGGTGGCTCAGAACTAAAAACATATCGACAAGGGACTACCATTAGAGGTATGTCTTACCAGTACAAATCAAACTATAGAGGCATAAATGAATATTTATTGGTCAGTCACAAACAACTGATACAAATGCTTAGACTCATATAGAATGACATGGGAGTCATTTGTATATTTTCTCACTTAAATTTCCCTAATATCCCATGGTTTGTTATAATCTTCTCTACTTTATTATGAAGCAAAGGATAAAGAATTTGCTTCTCATTATGCAGTTATAACTGCAGAAGAAGACTTTAGCTACATGATTCAGGTGGCACTGTGACTCCCAGAAACCACAGTCTTAGCTGCTATTCTATACTATCTGGCAAATGTTCTGGAAATGAAGAAACAACACATTGATTGGCTACATCAGTAGAAAAGTATTTTACCATATGCAAATTTACGCATTTTATTTTACTTTTCTCATGAGTTTTAAAATTCCATCTAAAAATAACATATGCATTATAGAAAATTTAGAAAATACAAAAAACACAATTCGAATTAAAAATGTACTATGTAAAAGATAATACAACAATATAAATAAAGAGGTAACTTTCTTTCAAAAACTTTACATTTAAGAAATCTTCATCCTACCAATTAATGTCACATCATGTACAACCAGAAGAATGTGAATAATATATCAAAATACATTCTACTGTCATGTATTAAAAATAAAAAAAAAGAAATCTTCATCCTATAGAAGATAATCCAAATGAAAACTTACCACTATTTTGGCCAAGATGCCGTCATCACTTGCATCTAAGGTAACCACAGCTTTGTCAGTCTCAATTTCACATAATGCATCTCCAGCACTCACAGCTTCACCTACAAAACAACACTGGGTTTGTTTTGTTTTTTTAAAATATGAATATCTGTAGATGTGTGTAAAACATAATTAACAACAAAATACTCTATAGTTACTTCTGGGTTGTGAAATTATAAACAGTTCTAATCTCACGTGTGTGTGTTTGTGTGTGTGTGTGTATGCTTTGTTGTATTTTCTGAAAGCTTTATTAGGGGTATAATTATATTTGTTGTAATAAAAAGCTATTGCTAAGATTACTGAACAAATATTAAAAGTAAAATCACACTGAGACAATAGCAACAAATGAATATTCTCTCCAGGACAAATCAATTTCAGACCCCGTATCTCTTTTTCTTTTAACAGTGCTAAGGATCACACCCAGGGCCTCATCATGCTAGGAAAAAGCTCTATCCCTGAGTTAAACTCCCAACCCTATCTCCTGCTAATTTGACTATTACTCTATAGAGAGAAGTTTCATAATTAATAGTACTTTTTGGTTTACATCTTAGGGCAAGTTCAGAAATCCTATCTGTACCACACAGCATAAATGAATAAAGCATACACAGCATAAAAAAGAGAAAATCAACATGGCTGATGTCAAATTAAGGACCAGTTCTGTGCAATAGAAAAGATATGAAAACTTAAAAACCCGAGCAGGAACTGACATTACAGACATGCTGGTTTCTGGATCAAAAAGTAGGTTTGTGGTGGGGAGGAGAGAAGAGATAGATTTCCTTTAGGAAGTACAGGGAACTAAAAGTGGCCTTGTGGAGCCAGGGGACTCAAATCAGCTTTACCACTTGAAGCTAGGGCTAAGTCAGGCTGACGAAATGAGCCATCAAAACCTGACTGAGACTAAGGCTTTATTCAGAAACTGTGGGTGTAGGAGATGGGGGACAAAAATACTGCCCCAATATCAGAAACCAAGTCAAACAACCTTCTGGCTCCAGGACTGCATCTGTCAATATTCTCAGTATCCATAGCAAAATACAGGGGCTAAGGGTAAGATAAGGGATGGGCAAGAGGGAAGACATTTGAGAAAAACAGAAAAACCTTCCATTCAAAAGTAAACCATAAAACAAGGTCCTGAAACATTAAGAAACCTAATGCTAAGAAAGCAAGTCACAAAATCAATAACTGGAACAGAAACAGATTTGAGAAGCAATTCTTTAGTGCAATCTGCCAAAGATTTTAAAATAAGTATCTGGAGGATGTTAAAAATATAAGTGAAGATAAAACAGCCATCACAAGGACAATAATTTTTTTTAAAAAATGTACAGAAATGAAACAAAACAGCATCAAGTAGAAAGGAAAAAAGCTAATCAGAAATATTGGAAATAAAAAAATTAAGTCATCAAAATTTAAAAAAAAGGTATATATTCTAGAGTGGACATAGCAGAAGAGTGATATTGAAAGCTAGCACCAAGAAACTATCCAGTAGTTAACACATGCAGATAAAAAAATTTTTTTTTTAAATAGAAAGGAAAAGAAAAGAGGCAGCTAAATGACATAGACTGAGGCTGCAATGTTTGTCTTATGGACTTCCTGGGGAAGACTTGGGGGGCTGGTGGAGAAGCAATACCTGAAGAAATAATTGCCAAAATTTTTTCCAGAACTAGAGATGTATACCTTCATAATATTAAGAGTTTGAAATACCCATTGTTGACTGAGAGGGGGCACAAGAGAGCCTTGTGGCATGTGAGGAATGTCCTAAATCTTGTAGGTAGAGGTACATATAAATATTGAGATTACATTCTATGCAAGTTAAAACGGTGACAAAATTTTAACAGGAAAAAGAGTATTAGAGCATGTAAACATAATCCACATTAGATACACTGTAGAGAAACTGCACACTATCAACAATAAAAAACGTAATTTTAAAAGCTATCAGAGGAAAAAAAAAACATTACCTCAATGGAATGACAGACTGAGAGCACACTTCTCAGCAGCTGCAATAGAGGTCAGAAGACAATGAAGCAATATCTTCAAAAAGCTGAGGAAAAATAACTGTCTAGAATTTTACATGCAGCCAAACCATCAATTAAGAATGACAGAAAGTATTGTTTAGACATATCAAAGCTAGAAAATTTACCATTATTGGCAATCACTTCAAAGAGCTCATACAAGATTGTCATCAAGAAGAAAAGTAGACACAGAAAGGACCCACGAGACACAAGAAAAAAGTTACCACAAAAGCTGCTATAATGCTAACCATTTATCACTTAAAAGGCCATGTTTGAAGGTCAAAAAGTAAAAACTCAAAAACTAAAAATCAATAAGATGAATAAGGGAATGTTTAGGTGATGTGAACCATACTGAACTTTGATACAATTAGGAAAAAATACTGAATAACTACATTTTTTGACAAAATTTAAGAATTTAAAAATAGAAATATAATCTATATCAATTAAAAAATCAGCAAAATGATCACTTAACAGAAAGTATGCCCATGAAAAGAAAAGGAAGAGAATAAAAACAGAAATGCACAAAAAACAGCAAAAATAAATTCAAATGTATAAATAACCACAATAATTGTAAACGGATTAAAACTACATATAAAAGTAGTGGTTATGAAAATACAGAAATAAAATCTTGGTAAAAATAGCTTAGAAGAGACAGACCTAAACCCTAAATAGAAAAATAAAATAAAGGGATAGAAAATATAAGTCATACAAATACACCCCCATCTCTTCACATATACACCCAAATAGCTGAAATAGCAATATTTACAGGTGAATACAATGAGAAAATGTGAAAGAAAATCTAAAATACTAGTAAGTTAATAAGTGTGCTCTGAAAGTTTCCTTAGAATGAATCTCATCTGAGCCTGAGAAGATGAGGAGATAAATAAAGGATAATGATTCAGGCAGAAGGCGGCATACCCAGAGGCCTGGGAGCAAAGAAAACACGCCACTTTGGGGGAACTAGCAAACAGTACATGAGAGAAGCAATGAAAGATTAGGCTGGTGAGATATGCAGGAACAGACCAAAAAGGACCATTGTATGTCATACAGAGAATGTCCCAGTGTCATATTATACATTTTATCTTACGTACTTCTTTATACAGCAGATGTTTTAGTTAAAATAGATCATACTTCAAAAGGAAAAATAAAAAAGCACTATTCTGTTTCTGTAGTAACCATGGGAGAGATCACTGAATTATGCAACCTACCATAAAACCACTTCTTTGATGGCTGGAAAATAAATTCTGGCCTTAAGAAACCAAGTAAAATGAAACTATATCATTGTGCTCATCCAAGTTCAAATTTCAACCACTCTTTAAGAACTATCTATTCTTCTGCTTCAGCTATGTAACTTTCTCTTGGCACTTCAACTGACAAGTTTTTGTTTCTATTCCTGAATTCCTGTAACAGTTATAACTAATTTGAAAAGAACCACAAATTACAATATAAAATGTTATATTGCTATTACTAATTACTTTTTAAAAATTGTATTTTTCTCTACTTACTAGAAAATACTGTGAGCTTTTCCACAATAGAAACAGGGCACATTAGAGATGTTTTATATCACTCCCATTCCTCAGATCTCAGGCCAGTGCCCCATGTGTGATGCACTTCAGATTAAATGCTTTACAAAAAAACTGTAATAACTTAACATATCCTTATTTCCTTATGAGGTACACATCAAACTGTCCTTTGCGTGTCTTTTCATTCTCCCATTTGATTTGTAGAATGTTTCTAATTTTAAATAGACATGTAACCCCGTTTCTTATGTTCTTTAAACAATACCCACATCTTGCCACATAACATAGGCACATATGTCAGCTAAATAAGAATGCTGAGAGAAACAGACAAAAACTACTGTGTATAAAGAGCTTTGTCCATAAACTACAGTAACATTTAAAACATTATACTTTCATATAAAGAAGCATTACCCCTAACTTATTATGAAACTAGATTCTATCTATTGATAATCAAATACAATGTAAATGCCAAAAGAAAATTTTGAGACTAAATGCCACAAAGATGCAAGTCTGATAAGTTTCAGCTTTGATCAACAAGTTAGCACTATATTGAGAAAGACTGCTTGGCAGAGAAGTTAAAAGGAACCTCTCCCAAGTCAGACATGTCAGATATGAGTTTCATTTGAAGGCTGTACACTTAGTAGTGATCTAGTCACTTCATCTTAATCTCTTTGACTCTCAGGAAGAGATTATTAAAAAAAAAAAAATCACAGACTTGGAAGTCACTTCACTTACACCTTTACATAACACTTCACATCTTCAGATAGAACTAAAGACAAAATATTAGGTATAGCTAGTAACAACGATTAAAACTCAAGATCCATTATTCGCTCCTCTTCCAGTCTATTATTTCAAACAGATCATTCAACAAACATTAATGTATAAGACATTGTAGTAAGCACTGAGTACAAAAACAACAAGATATGGTTCTATTTGTAAAGAGTTTATAGTCTAGTGGAAAAGACTGAGCAGCCAGGACAGAGGCTCATGGACGATCTGAGGGACAGAAGGCTTCTCAGTTGTCACGTTGATGGCTGACTGGCTGCAGAAGATGGCAGCCCTGGAGTGTTCCTGAGCCATCTTCTTGAAGTCGGTGTCAGTGGCGTAGGTGGAGCGGGCCCGGAGCGAGAGTGCGGGCCCCAGGAGGGGCCAGACCAGAGGCCCGCCCGGGGGCCGCTCCCCAGCACCGACGCCAGCATCATATCCTGTTCCTTTGTCCAGATGAGCAGCTGTCAGAGCTGAGGATGGAAGTATACAGAGGCTTCCCTCTGTCTTAGTAAATTCTAGGCATGAAATAGTGTCTCAGTCAAACACGGTTTATATTATTAACCAAACACATCCTGTGGTTTTTACAAAATACTTTTGTCCTGCCAAAAATTTAAGACTAAGTATTTCCAAGGTGTATGATGGTAGAGGGCTACTTGTTGTCTGAAAGACCAAGTAAATCAGATCTACATAAACATGAAAGAGAAAAACCTCTTCTTATTGCTATGTTGAGAGATATTAATGTATTTGCTCAGCAAACATCTACAAGTTGCCCCTATATGAATGACACTGTATAAGACACCATGGTTAACAATAATAAGATAGAAATGCTACAAGAAGTTCCTAATCAGAACCAGCTGACAATGCCAATCCCACCCAATTAGTACACAACAGAATGGTAATAGAGAAGAGGGATCCCTAATCACAGTCTGTCAATGCTTATCACTTCATCATAATTAAAAGGATGATATTTGCATGGACCCATGACCTGAGGCAGCCTGGCTGCTAGGCCAGTCAAATCCTGCTGACAGCATGAGTGGTAGTTTGAGAAGGAGACTGTCACATCAGGTTAAATTCCCATACATCCCTCTGGTCTCTTCTTTACCTGATTAGTGGCTACTGTATTGAACAGTTTGGCAAAGTACATTTTTATTGCCACACAGAGTTCCATTGATTAATACTGTAATCTACAATTCATTCACCAATTTTACAATTTTGATCTAATATAAATGTTAGCAATAACTGTAAAAAAGCACAATGATAAAAGCAATTCAGCAACAAAAGTAACGAACTTGCTAATACTTGTTACAACATGGATGATCTCAACTATGCTAAATGAAAACTCTATATTATGATGACTATTTACATGAAATGTCTAGAAAAGGCAAAATTTTAGAGACAGAAACCAGATCAAAGTTGTCTAAAGCCAGGGATGGGAGACGAAAGCAACTGCAATCACGCAGCACAGAACATTTCGGGATGACAGAAGTGTTCTAAAAATGGACTATGGTAAGTTTACTAAAAATAATTGGATTGTGCACATAAAATTGGTGACTGTGTAAATTATATTTCAAAAAAGCTGTTAAAATAGTAGTATACCAAAAAAACACTGAGGCTATTTGTGAAATGTACTTTTCCCAAATTTTCCAGTTTAGCACCACAAACATATTCCCAGAAATAGAAACCAAAGCCTCTTCTACAGTAGAATCCAGAATCTTTGTGTAATTCTCCAATTGTACCTAGTGGTACAGGATAAAGTCCCCATCAGAACAGTTTTACTCTCAAACACTAAGTTTGAGACAGTCCGAATTACACAAAAGCTGTGTGGAATAGTCAAAATTCCCAGTTATACAACATAAGAAAGGCTCACTAAGAATGACAGCCCCTGGATTGAAGAATCACACCTAGAGCAGCAGAGGACATCACTTGCTAAGCACATGTCTGCTCCAGACACCATGTGCTAAGTATGTCACACAATTGTTCTAGTGTGGTTTTGTTTCATAGTGCTTCTTGGCAGAGCGCAAATCTAAAATATTAATCTCAAGGAAAAAAATATTTTTCATATGTGTAAATATTCTCTCATGAAAGGGGAACAAATATTTCTTTTTGTTGTTTTAACAGATTTGACTTTTCAACTGATGAAAAAATAAACTATGGCCACTTTAATAAACAGAAATTACCTGAAGTATACTTTCTTTACCACAACCCCACCCTCCTAAACACCTGTAATAAAGATGGAGAATTACAGTTCAACTTACCTTTCAAGATTATTTTGAAATTGTGTGTTATTTAGCACTTTCAAAATATTTTCTCTACTGTTTTATTTTATTAGCAGTACAGAAGACTGAACCCAGGGCCTTGTGCACACAAGATAAGTGCTCTACTATTAAGCTACATACCTAGGCCTTTTATTTTTATTTTTTGAGCCTAGGTCTTGCTAAATTCCTCAGGCTGGACTCCAACTTGTGATCCTTCTGCTTCAGCCTCTCAAGTAGCTGTGTGATTATAGTGTGCACCACCACACTCAGCTTCTACTAATTTTATGATGCATACTTTTAATTCAATCCTCAGACTAAATAAGCATCCTATTACTTATTATTAAACTAGTGTCCTAAGATTCATTAGCTCAAAAAGATGAAAATAATTTACATGCTATTATTGCACATAACTCAGAATATAAAAACAAATTATGATTGAATTTGAAGCTATGATATACCTCTTTTCTTTGTATTTTGTTTTAGTTGTAGTTGGACACAATATATTTTATTTTTATGGGGTGCTGAGGATTGAACCCAGCGCCCCACACATGCTAGGCAAGCACTCTACCACTAAGCCACAACCCCCAGCCTCTATGATATACCTTTGATTTTATCTAACTTGACTCACTCCAGGTAGTTCTCATGGCAACATAGAAACTCCAAAGGGCAAATCATGATTCTTTTATTGCACCCTTACCTCCCTAGCTTAAAACACGCATTAATAAAAGTAGCTGTGAATTAGAGTCTCAGATTTTCAAGAAACCTTAAAAGTTTATATAACCGAACTGCTATCCACAGGCTATTGGATCATTATCTAGTCTTTGCTTAAAAATAAATTAGATTGATAACTAGATACAACAGCACTCTTTTTCATTAAAAATTTTCAATATTCTTAATGTTTTAAATTCCATTAACCTTACATTAATAAAGATCTCAATATAAAAAAAGCATAGCTAATGAGAAGTATATAAAAAAGGGAATATGTTTTCAATAAATTTATAATCTAATAGTCCCTTTTTGAATGAGCCAAGTGTCACCATCAACATATCAAGCACCAAGCGTACCAAACTGCCGGGTCTGTTCCAATTACTGCATTAACCATAACAGGGACGCATTAACACATTTGGACACATTCCCTGCTATGGAAGAGAATTTAGTAATGCTTCCAATCACACAGGTCAATCCTAACCAGGCACAGTCATCTGGACAGCCTCACTGTGTTACATCTCCTAGGTTACTCCCTTATGGATACCTGCCTAATCCATAGGACCAAGCTTCTGCTCTGAGGCCCATTCTGTTATCTATCTTCTTGTTTTTCCTAGCACTCCAGAATCCCTCAAAGAATGGCAGCCTTGCCCCAAACTCCCAAGCTTATTTGGCAGATATTGTCAAATAAGTACTTGCCGGCCCTCTTCCCAAGCCCCATACGTGTCATCATTGGCAAAAGTTATACCACGAGTGGCTAGACCTCCGAGTGGCTAGACCTCCTGGAATAACAACAGAACTCTGCCACACTCTCAATTCTTACCTGTGACTTAAACTCTCCAGATGCTCTTTTATAATTACTTTCTGGATGACACAAGACCAGAATTTGCCTTAGCAAAATCTGTGCCTACTGAATCACAAATGGAAACCCCGGAAGTCCTTGCCAGGGCTAGCCACTTGCTTGGTTTTCGTTTTTTTGTACCAGGGAATGAACTCAGGGGTGCTTAACTATTGAGCCATATCCCCACCCCTTTTTATTTTTTTTATTTTGAGATAAAGTCTCATCAAGTTGCTCAGGACCTCGCTAAGTTGCTGAGGCTGGCTTTGAACTTGTGATCCTCCTACTGCCTCAGCTTCCTAAGTCACTGGGATTGTAGGAGTGTGCCACTGCACCGAGTACGCATTTATTTTTAATTGGTTCTTTCTAGATATATATGACAGTACAGTGTATTTGACAAATTACACATACATAGAGTATATACTAGTCTAAACAGGATCCCATTCTTGCAGTTCTTTTAAAACACCAACCCCACCATTTTAATTATATAGGCTTAATAATATGTTTCAATAACTAGAAGTCTACTGCCCTTCTCTACTGCTCTTCTTTTGAGGCTTTTCCTTATTATTCTTACTTATTTGCCCTCTTATAATCAACTTCCCTAGCTCCAGGAAAATAGGCAGTCACACAGTCATGATAGAGTTATAAACTAAGGGTTTTGATAAAAGCATGAGGTTGAAAGACTGAAAATTGAAAAAAAAAAAAAAAAAAAACCCTTAAAATATTTTAAAATTCAGTGCGTGTGGAAACACACAGGATGAACCCAGAAAACTTTGCTACATTAACATGGGAAATTTTTATTTAAACAAATCTATATTAGTAGCAAAGAAACACAGGTTACTTCATTTACATTATGTACTGTGTAATACAACTGATTAGAAAAAAGCCAAAATAACCAGGAAGAGTGATCAACAAAGCACAGTAGACACCAGTGATGTTCTTAACTCACCTTCCTTTTTCAGCCATTTGACAATGTTTCCCTCTTCCATTGTAGGTGACAGAGATGGCATTAGAACCTTAATAGGATCAACTGAAAGTGGAAAAAAAGAAAAGATTAGCCTCTCCCAAAAAAGTACTAACAAGGAATTAATATCAATTCAAATAAATTACTATCAAATTCTATGGAGAAAGAGGGTACTCCAAAGACAATTCCCAGATGACAAATAAAGTGTCTAGTAAATACTATGGAAACATAACATTCTCAACTGTGAATATTTTTATAAAACTTTTTTTTAAATACTTGACTACTTTCATAATTAGGTGCTTACAAGTTAAAAAAGAAAAATTGATTTAAGTTTCATCTCCTTTCCCTTTTGTCTCTGCAAAAAATATTTTAGGTACAATGATCACAAGAAAAGATAAGAAAAAATAACATCAAAACAGGATTCTGGGGGCTGGGGTTGGGGCTCACTGGTAGTGCACTTGCCTGGCACGTGTACGGCACTGGGTTTGGTTCTCAGCATCACATATAAATAAATAAAATAAAGGTCTTTCAACAACTAAAGAAAAAAAAAAGTTAACAACAACAAAAAAAACAGGACTCTAATGACCTGGAGCAGATTAATCAAGATCAGACTTTAAGAAATTGGTTGTTGTAATGCACCGCTAAACCTACACTACACAATATTCAAAGGTATAATATTATACTTTTCAATATTCAATATTCAAATAGTATATTATATTACTCAATATTCAACTGTAGGTGACAGAGATAGCATTTCAATTTTTTTAAGACTGAAAGGAAAAGTTTATCTAGTCAAGGTTGATCAGGCAAGAAACTAAGCAGTTGAACTGATCTCAGATTTTGTTCCCTACCACAATTAAACTGGGGATTCAAAAAGGCTGACCTTAAACCTGAGACACCTCTCACTGAAGCAAATTATTTTTTCCTTAGACACCAAAAAAGGAGACAGTATGTATCTGTCCTGCTCTACTTCCCAATAATTACCCACCGTCCAGGACTATATTCAAAGAGCACACAGCTTTTGATTAAAATTTATATAAAGGTTATACTAATAAACTACCGTAACAACAAATTACATTCCCTGAAGTCTTTCACAGAACCATTCTCTTCTCAGATATTCAACACTCAAGACTCAAACAAGCAAAATACTGCAGCACAGCTAACATATTTCAAATGTGGAAGAGGAGAGAACGGAGTTTACTCCCCATTAATGTATTAGGATTAACAGTAAGGAAATTTAGCACTCATGTTAAATGGGGTTAAATAAAATGAGGTTTCCTTAGGGAAATGGAACTAATTTTACAGTGACTTTTGGAGAATTCCGATGGCTTCATGTTAAAGGTACTTCCAAGAATATTAAGAAGAAAGGTTCTATCTGTTCTCTACTTCTTCACTCCTCTGTAAAGGACTGGGAAAAAGCATGTCTACCTGCCTCAGCTTTGTCCTCATTTTCTTTTAAGACCTTCCTGTCTATAGGGAACCTACATTTTCCTCTGAGCTCTTCCATGGCCCTGCATGGCCCTGCATGAATGAACCTGCCTTTGAAAGACAGATCCAGGGCTGGGGATGTGGCTCAAGCAGTAGCACGCTCGCCTGGCATGTGTGTGGCCCGCGTTCGATCCTCAGCACCACATACAAACAAAGATGTTGTGTCCGCTGAAAACTAAAAAATAAATATTAAAAAAAAAAATTCTCTCTCTCTCTAAAAAAAAAAAAAAAAAAAAAAAAAAAAAAAAAGAAAGGAAGACAGATCCATAGCCTCACCTCTCCCTGTTCCCATCATCAGGGCTCATTGGGTGTGAGGCGACAATCCATGTATGTTTGCTTTGTATACACAAACTCTCTCCCTCAAACAAAAAGCCAAACTTTAAATAAGGGGTTGTACTGGAAAGTCCAATTGTGGAAGGCCTCAGCTCTGCATCACATTCTCTAATCCAGCCTATCAGCATTAAGACTCCACCCACCCACTTGATCCTCATACCTGACTCCTTTCCTCTCTTACATCTGGTACAAATTCTAAGACAGCTAGAATTATCACTTCTAAAGGCCCCAAAATGATAGAGTCCAAACTAAATTCAAAGTGAGCATGATCATTTCACCAATATGAAGACCACAGTTCAGATTAAGGGAGCTGTCCGCTTAGCTCTCTCGGCTGTCCTTTATTAGACTGTGTTACTTTTTTCTCATGTTCCTTACAAATACTGATCATCAGTTGATTGCTGATTATTTATAGGGCTGGTGATGTAGCTCAGCTGTAATGCATTCTTAGGTTTAATCCCCAGCACACATACAGTTATTTTGGAAAGGACTGCAGAATACTGGCCATCAAACTCCTGTCACTTATGACTCTCAATAATTATTGTTGCAGGTTGCATTTAATTCCCAAGCTACCTCTAATTGAAAGACAAATTACAGAGTATAGCTTCCTAAATTTTTGCACTTTTTCTAGTAAAATAAGTCCATAAACAGGCACATTCAGACATTACTCAGGTAGAAAACAATGCAAACTACTATGCCCAACCTTAATGCATGGAATCTATAAAACAGTGAAATGCTAAATTTTTGAATGAAGTAAAATCAGGGAAGCACACTTGGGAAAAACACTCACACAGATCAAATCCAAATCACAACAATCCTACACTTGAAAATGAAAGAATTTTCAAGTGCTAAAGCTTAATACATTAAACATATTTGGAAATAATAAACTGAACTTTCTAATCTCCTAGATTATTTTGTCTGCTGCCTTGAGTCTCCTCCCTTTTTCTTTTTTTTTCACATGGCTCGATGGAAAAAACATTTGCCTAAAAAATGTAGAGCCAACTCAACCTTCAGCATTTGTTTTTTTAAGCTGGTAATGACAAACGTGCTTTTTGTTTAAAAAAAAAAAAAGCCAGACCAGTGGCTTTAATCATGCCTGTAATTCCAGTGGCTGAGGAGGAGGATCATGAGTTCAAAGCCAGCCTCAGCAATGGCAAGGTTCTTTTAGCCATTTAGTGAGACCCTGTCTCTAAATAAAATACAAAACACGGCTGGGGATGTGGCTCAGGGGTCTAGCGACCATGAGTTCAATCCCCAGTACTCAAAAAAAGGGCAAAACCCCTTAACTTCTAAACAGCATCATGGAAAGAAGCACAACTTAAAAAAAAAAGAATCCCAATGTGCTGACTCTATCAACAAGTTTAAGCCTGGCATTATGAGACTGAATACTTATATATATATATATATATATATATGAATATATGAATCCATCAAATAAAGTTCCACTTCGAGGCACAAAATAAATGGACCTCAATAATTCCACATTCAGATTCCAATTTATGACAAATACTAAATCAATTCTCTCAAAACAAAGTCTCTCTTCAATATTTTTATACTTTGGTTCAGTTGCCATGATAAAATTCATATTTATTTTATGATTCTATCTCCTATGATAATTTCTCACCTAGAGACCTTCATATTTGCATTATTCCTGACATTAAGGACTATTTTATGAAATGTCTGCATTAAGTATTTTTTCCAAAGCACAACATCAAGCACCTCAAACACTTTCATGTTTTAAAATTTTTTAAAAAAATCATTTTTCAGTCACCCTTCATGGATGAACTGAAATTGCTTCTCTGAATAATGATAATAAAATATAAAAATTCTATAATAGATCACTATCCTTATTCTGCAATGAAGGTGACATAAATGGAAGAAAGATTTTGACATCTCCATTATTCAGTACCATCTCTTGATTGATTATACTGGCTTATTATGGAATAAAAAGTGTAATATATTCTCTGACTACTGTAACCAATCAATCCTATGACTTTAACGGTAGAAAAAACATTTCAAAATAAAAGAATTAATTTATTAGTAAGAGTCCATATTTCATTCTAGTTCCTTCTTTGGACTGAAATATTACATACATTTTCCAAATGTATTTTTCTGATGGGAAAGTAATTATATAATATCAGCTTTGAGTGTCAAGGTTGCACATAATTAATATCTACCCTTTAGGTTGCTGTCAACTGTCTTAAGATAGTGGAGGCTTTTCTAGACTCCCTTGGAATAGAAATACCCTACACATACATTATTTAGTTTTCATTAGAAATTAATGACAGCCCCCTCTTCATTTCAGAAAGCAGTACATTCCACCATTATTCTGTTAAATTGCAGAAGCCTTGAAATGTGCACCCATTATATTTCCTACTAATACCAACTGGCACAACTACAGGTAAGAAAAAAGGAAATGTGATCTTTCTAAACTGGTTATACAGGTTTTTTTAAATTAGAACTTAAAAATACTTGAAAATTAGAATCTAACCCATTTGTAGTAATTTATTGTTCTGTTCCTTTCTACAAAACTATCAAATGATGCCTAATTTTCTTATAAAGTCTGCCATTCTGTAATAGTTATAAAACATTAAAAATTCATAAGATGACTCTGGTAATGTATATTTCCAGCAATTTAAATTCACATATACTGATTTTAAAAGCAAATATCTCACAAATCATTATAACTATCTTTATCTCTTAATGTTTTTTGCCTCAACAGAATGACACAATAAATTAAACAGCTTAGTTTACTGCTGCTTTCCCTGCCATATCAACCACATGATCAATCTATCAATCACTGAATTTTATAGAAGCTTCTCTAAGCAATTTTTGTTTCTTTGAATTTGTTCTTCCAATTTTTCTACAACATATATCTGACTTTGATTTGAAATACTGTACACTGACCTAATTCTAACTTATTAGTTCTTTTACACTAAAAATAAAACTCATATTCCAACAAAATCAATTATACTAAATATCTTAAGCCAATGATATACAAGAATTGTAAAAGGCGTCTGGATTAAAAAAGAATATATGCAAACTCTTAAAATATAAATGCAGAACAAATTGCTTTGTGGTTAATGGGAAGCAGATCTAAGCTCCATTACTTTGACTAAAGTAATTAAGGAAACTCAGCAGTTTACATACGGTACATTTTAGAGTCATGCTCTGGTCCATTTATGGGGCTATAACCTAAGCACACAAAAACTGTGAAATAGATAAGACCAAATGAAGAAGTAAATTAC